AATTGTATCCATTCAAGCCAAACAAAACAATAAACTTGAAAATAATGTAAAATTGCTTCAAATCATCTTTTATAAAGTACCATATCTCCTCCTAATCCTTTAGAATTGGTTAATCTCGTCAGTCTTTTACTGAAGAGTCAGTTTACCATTTCTGAGTCTAGGTATCATGCTTCATTTGAAACCTGGTGCCACCTTTTGGGAAATGTCATCTTTGCCTTTAGACCTTCTACTAACCACTTGCTTAGGCTGGTATTATCCAGTTTGAACAGGGATCTTCTACCTGTAGATATGTTATAACAGCTTACTATGAATAATACCATTGTTTTTCACACAGGTGCATGATGATCAATGAATATTAAAGCCAGTCTGAGGATTTCTAGCCACCACATCGTCTATCGCTATCCCACAAGTTTTTTAGATTTGATACTTTTAGTTATACTTAATTGGATGTTTGTCTTGACCAGAAGTTTACACTGAAGAATTGTGATAAAAACATTTAACAAATGCGTAACAGGTTTGGAAGCCTTTGGAATGTCAAAAAGAAATCCTGCTATGTTATAGGACCGGTGAGAAGCTGCAGACAGCATGCAAGAGCTCGTCCACAGGTGACCATGGTGACAGATGTTTGCTCTGCATGTGCGCCCTGGATTCTGCTGTTGGTGAGAGTTGGAATACAAAGGATTTCACAATCCTGTTCACAATTTTAAACTAGTCTCGTTCTTTCATTTTCTAATTGCCATGTTCATCCTTTTTTCAGATCCAGCGTCTGCCTTTCATATGACTCTGATCTCAGAGCAGCTCTCCCAAATTAAATCTTCAGGGAAGACCGATGCTGAACTCCCAAGACCAAACCAAGGTTCAGTATACTCTCAATCAATTAATGCTGTTTCTATTCATACTTCAAGTATTCATTGTAGTTATTGTTTGTCCATAGAATAGTCATTTTGACTTTGAGGACTTCGAGGGTGCTTTTTTCAGTCAAGATAAGAAGAAAGTTCAGAAATATGAGCAGCTGTCATCGGGGCAGTAAAACAGTTTACTCTGAATACTTATTGGCTTCTCTTGGTAGATGTAAAATGTTATTTAAATATTTAAAAAAAAACAGAACTTTTATAATGTAATTGAGTTATAGAACATCATGGCCAGAATTACAGAGTGCAGAGTTGTCATCATTCAGTGTAAGATGTTTCCTACCTGAGTGTCTGGACTTTTTAAATACATCAAGCAGCTCACCAGAGGCTCACGATTGACTCTAAACTCAGTTTCCAGATGTTAATAACATCAGTTCCCTTTGTTTCCAATCAAGCTCAATTTGTGCCTGAATCAAATGCTCCCACAGGACAGTGCTGTTCCTCTGGAGGAGGAGAGGATTGTGGGAGAGCAGCAAGTGGTGGAGGCTGCTGTTCTTCTGCCAAGTACGTGTTCAGTGATTGATTCTCATTAGTTGTGACTTTAAAGGGCATGTTACATGCACAGTGATGTCTGCAAGGATATAACAAAGGATCAGGATTTAGCCACAACTGGAGTTTTAGTTGAATAGTTTCCATCTTTCTGGGGTTTTTAATACTGGTTCCCTTAGTTTTAGTCACTTTAGTTTTTGCTATGTTTGCTTATAAGCAGTGAACATAAGTACAGCGGAGTCTTATTATTGTGGATTCATAACTGTAGTAAAGTCTTATAATCGTGCTGTAACTGACGTATTGCTGTTATGCTGCTCAACCCAGCAGTCTTCAGAGAGTCATTCAGTCAGCCCAGTGCCCACCAGGTTCAAGCATCAGCCTGTCACCCCCAGCAGAGACCTGCTCAAGCTAATCACATATCTAACCTTTAGTGTACCCTGACAAAAACCAACTACAGGTGTATATAATGTCTGTATTATCCAGAGACTCCGCTCTGTGAGTTTGCTTGACTCAGGCTTGAACAGCAGAAACCATATTCCTTCCTGACTTCATCAGCAGCTAAATTGGACCATTAGGCAGCCTTGAGAAATGTGGCCCTCTCACTATCTGGCCCCGAGGAGGTGAGCCAGTGTTAGCTATGGGAACACTACTTGCAAAAAAAAAAATGCTATCTCTAACAGTGTTTCCCTTACCATTATATTAGGGGGGCGGCCCACTCCCCTGCTTATAGGCAACATCATGGTGTCAACAGACCGCACAGCCAACATACCCTACCCAGTGATTCAATAAATAAATCTGCTGTCAGATCAAACAACTGTTATCGTCTACAGTGTTTTCCTTTGTGACTCTGATTTCTGTGTATTTCTGTCATAGGGTAACAGAGACACCAAATATGAAGAGCCTGTTGTGCTACAGCTGCAAGCTGACCGTCAAAGACTTGGTAAGTGAAAACTCATAAGAATACTGAGAAAAACATTTGTGTTTGTTGTCTACTACTTAATTCAACATTTCAATAACGTTGGACCTCCTTTTTGTTCCTTTGGCTTTTCCCTTTCATCTGTTGTACATCTAGTCATCACCTGATCATCTCCCACTCTACATCCTGTCAGAGGCGCAGAGGAGGCAAAGGAGGTCAAGAGATTAACATATTTACATCACAAAACTTCTGATCAGTCATGCAAAGTATAATGCAATATGTATGATCCTGGTGTTTTCTGATCATGTCATACCTAGACTGTGGGCCGAACTGATTGTTTGAATAGAAATATTGAACTCTTTTAATTGTCCTCTGATGCTAAAACAAGCCTTTATATCTAGCAGCCTGTTGTATGGGTAGTCAAATATCATTCAGCTGATACACAGCTCCACATTTCTGGATCTTTTAAACGGATAGAAGATTAAGAGGGGACATGTTAACCATGTCACAAAAATAAAGAGTAAACTAAAAAGCTACAGCTATTAGAGAAATCATGTGAACTCTCTAGTCTGTCATTTATTGAAACCACATATCTAAGGTATACAATAAGATCAGACACTGAAATGAAAGAAAGCCCACAGTGCTCTCTTGTCCTCAGTCTTCTAACGTGTGTTGTGTTGTTCTGTAGGTCTCACATGAGAGAGGAGATCAGTGAGTTCTTGCTGGATGACGGGGATGATGGGGATTAGAGCGAGGAAGAGAAGTCTGTTGAGACAGACATGAAGCTGAGTCTTTACCTGCAGCAGGAGGCGAGACACATCAAATGTTACTTTTATCCTTGTACAACTTCTAAATAAAGATGCTAAGCAAATCATATGATCTATGTGTTATTTACAAAATCAGACCTCTATTATTTATATCCATTAATCCTTTGATGTCACAGCGGCTGCAGCCCATCCCTACATGCGAGGAGTGGGAATCTGTACTTAAGGAATGATCAACAAAGTCCACTTGTAGTTAAAGATCCTTGATGAGTATTTGACAGACACCACAACATTGCAATGAGAGATGTCATATTTCAACAACAATCTGCACTAACATGTATTTGATTTGTTTAAAAGGTTGTTGGCTTTGAATGAATTAGTAGGAAATGTTTTTAATTTAGAATCTCCCTAAAGGAGATGTCTGCTGACTCGGATTAAAGCCGTCCATTCTGTCTCAGACGGAGTGTTGGATGTTTCCTTTCATTTGGCCTGCATCTGGTAATCTCGTTGTTTTGTGGATAAGCCTGAGAAAATGAACATTTCTATCTTTACGGTGTAGAACATTAATAGTGCATAAATCTATATCGACTATGTTATGTCCAACAACAAAATTCTACTTCCAGGGGAGGGTCTGTATTCTGTTATAAATGTATTACACCTACAGCCCCTAAACAGTGACCAAGACAAAATAGTGGCACATGGGCAAGTTTTCCCCACAAACACGTTAAAGTCAAAATAATACATACAGCTTCCCTATGCTGTCACAAATCACTGCAGAGCATCCACTACTACATCCTTCAAACCACACCCATCTGGTGATGGAATAGTAATGGAGTCATTTCTTCATATCGGTTTGATCGTGGCCTTTTTATAAACCTGCACTACATATATGATGGTGTTAACCCAGAACATGGGCCTGCACCGTCATTAAAAAGATGGAGCTGGTTAGCTGTGTTTTTTTCTTTATAAATCGCATGCCTTGAAATCACACAACAAACTCTGAAGTATCTGGTTTCATGATAAACAAATGTTGATACTACAAAGGAGCTGCTCTGTGGTAACCATGTGGACACAAACAGAGTAGCAAGAGTGCAGTAGGATAGAACGTTTGGGTTGCTTGGCAACAGTTTTGTTTTAGTTAAGTTGCAGAACTAATTGAGTTGGTGGAGTAAAAATGTGTTTATTTTTACCTTTATTTTCTCCTTGTATTTCCGTTACATGTTTTACTGTATAAAAGCAATATCACACTCGAGGTTGAGATGTTTGTTCTGGAGATCAGCACCGCTGTGATGATCGACTGAATCACAGCAGTGCTGATATTCAGAACATCACTACCTCATGATATTGCTTCATGTAGCTGTGCAGTTATTTAAATGGAACATTCCATAAGATAGTTGGAACTTCTAAGACACATTTTGAACTTTTAACTTGTGGATAGACGTTAATAGAATAGTTGTGGACATTAGTAACTCAAGAAAACCTGCAATGATGTATGGTATATTAGACTGAGGTTTTAGGTTTTTTTAAACCAGTTTACAGAATTCACCTGGCTGTATCCCGCCCCCCTACTAATCTATATTTCTAATGTCCAGTCCTCACACTATACTTAACATATTGGTTCAGTGCTAAACACATTTTTGATTGTTACCGTCTTTCCCATAGAGGATGACATATTTGTTTTTCTGAGCCTAGTTATAAGATGAATGAATCCATGCTTACTTTCCCATGGGAGAAATAAAGTAAAAGAGTCTTAATGCGGTCATGCACCTAAAAAAATGGTATTACAGTTGAGTGTGCTCCTTTTTTGCCGTTTAGAAATACAGTAAACCTTTCATATCCGGTGAAGAAATGCACTTCGGCTTTAGACAAATATGTTACCTTCTGGAATACATATGAATAAAAAGAGGGACACAATGTTCGTAGTTTTGAGACAGAAAGTGCGGTTTTATTGAAAAGACATTGTTGAAAGACAGAACATTACTAAAGGAATACATTTTTTACACACAAGTATTTACAGAATGGTAATTCACAATGGTTCTGAATGTGTTTGTATGTAGGGTCAGTAATTTTTAGATTTTGTTTATGTTAGCAGCAGGGAGGGTGGATTTGTCCAGGTCATCAAAGTAAGGGTGAGTCATGGCCTCGCGTGCAGAGACCCTTTTGGGAGGATTGTAGGTCAACATTTTCTACAGCAGAGAAACAAGACGGGAAGAGAAGTGAGGCTCTGCTACTCAAGATTTATGTGCAGGGACATGAATCACATCCTGTTTATGGTAAACCATGACCACTATTCCTTATTCAGAAAAACAACCTTGAAAAAAGTGATTAAAAAACGTATTCTACATCACATATTCAAATTGAGAAATTCACCATTCTGTTATTTTTCATGATACTGAAGTCACCTTATTATCAAATGAAAACTTTGATACACAAATATTGCATTCTCTCAACAGTAGGCACAGTCACTGTTGCTGTCGCATAAAATTTTAAATATTTAGATTTTCACTGATTGCCATAAGTCACCGATAGAGAATATACCTAACATACCTATTCTCTCATACTCACAACCTGTCTCTTTTAAATGTTTATTTTTGGACTTTAATTTAGATAGGACAGTGGATACAGCTGAATCAGGAGAGAGTCGGGAATGACTTGCAGGAAAGGTACCGCAGGTCGGACTTGAACCCAGGCTGCCTACTGAGAGGACTATAGCCTCTATACATGGGGTGTGACACATTTGAATATGCAAAGAAAAAGGAAGACTTCATTTTGATGGTAGTAATGTTCCTGTCAATTTAAATGTTTTGTATTTTTTACTCATGAATAGAGTGTTTTAACTGAGTGAAGGAATTCAACTCTCTAACCTGGGTTAAGATGTTCAATGCTTATATTATAGCAGCCAATATTGGAAACATGCAATTAAACTACTTTGTTTTTGACTGTTCTTTCAATTGTGCATGATTACAAATAATGCTTAACACTGAAATAAAATCTTAATTAACTTATTTTACTCTGACTCTGAGAAACTAGGTTTTCTGTGTTAACTTTGTCTGCTTGGTTTGAAGAAGTAACAGAAAAGTAAAAAAAATTGAGACTAAAAGGCCTAGTACTTACCGCCAGCAGATCCAGGCCATTCTTATCAAGGTTTTTCACCATCGATGACAGGTTACCAGATTTCCATTTAGGGAATGTGTTTTTGTAGTCAGGCAGGCTCTCGACCTCAGGCCAGACATCATTGTTTGGGGTTCCAAGAGTCCTGGAAAGAACAGAAACACACAAATGGATTCAAATGGCAGAACTACAGGGAAGTGACTTTACACCACCACTAGAGAGAGAGAGAGAGAGAGAGAGAGAGAGAGAGAGAGAGAGAGAGAGAGAGAGAGAGAGAGAGAGAGAGAGAGAGAGAGAGAGAGAGAGAGAGAGAGAGAGAGAGACACACAAGTTCAGGAACACTTTCTCCTTTCTCCTCTTTATTTTTCTTCCTTTATCCCTGCTCGGACATTCTTCATTTACTTATTTTAGTTTTATCCAGGACTGGAGATTTGTAAAAACAAACTCTTAGCATCCAATCTAAGAGTATAGATTAGCTAGCATCCAGTGTTTACCCATTTTGTGTTTAATAATTCTGGCTTTCATAGATGTTGTAGTTTTAGTTCTGATTCATAGCTGTGTGGCTTATTGTCATAAAGTATTTGTTCAGTTCAGTCTATTATATAAGCAAATACAAAGTCAGCACTATTCATTGACTTTTTATATTACTACCTTATTCTGCCAAATTGAAAAACAAGCATAACAGTTTTGATATTTTCAATTAGAAAACGGGAGGCTACAGTTGACTTTTACATTTAACTTCTATCACCTACATTCATATAAACTGTTCACGTCTATAGAGGGACTAAAGGCACGTATGTTTTACTCTGGTGCACTCACCTGAAGATCCTGAACAGCTGGTCGATCTCAGAGTCTCCGTGGAACAGAGGCTTCTTTGTGGCAAGTTCAGCAAAGATGGTCCCAGTGCTCCAAACATCAACGGGGGTTGAATATCTGGGTGAACCCAGGAGGACTTCTGGAGCCCGGTACCACAGAGTTACAACCTGAGGACACACATGAGGGGTTATTTAGCCAAGCTCTTTTGTTGCTGAACAAATATCATTTAGAAGCCTGATGTAAACGCTGAGGTAAATCACTGAAGTTAATGATTAGTATCTCTCTGTTAACAGAGACAAACACAGTGACAGCTGTCTCATATGAACAATCCACTGCAGGCTGAAGAGGCATCAGTTGATCCCCCGTATTATAAAGGAGCAGAAAATATTTATTTGATTATAACAATCCCTTTATTTACCCAGACAGATTTACCCAGTAATGTATAACGGTATTTTACTGATTTGTTGATTCATCAGACACATACACATCTGCAAAATGTTTTAATGCTTACTGCTTAATGAAGCCGCCTCCGGTGTTTTCTGAAACAGCCGGTAATAACGATGGGCCTTATCTGTGTTGTTAAATGCAATTCTTTTGTAAATATGATCAAAATATTTGAAGTCTGCTCTCAGCTGAGCCTCTGGTCGACACAGACATCGTTCTAATGCTCGTATTTTGATTCGTAACAGAGGTGTGTTTGCACAGGAAAAGCGAGCTACAACTAGTTTAATCCAAACTATTTTAAGAGACTCAACAAAGAAGCCAAATGTAATAGCATGTCCGCTGTTTGGCCAACAGTCTGCACTCAAAGCCCTGCATTAAATATAAGGGACTATTAACAGAAATCCAGATAAGAGCACTGTTTGTCCATGAGCATAACAGTACTCTCTATGACCAACACATATACCAGTACTAATAAGTATTAGTGTAGTGTAGTTTTCAGTACCCATCCCTATCTACAGTGCGATTTTTAGTCCACAATTCTCAGTAGTGTGAAAAGACTCACCTCATGGGTGTAGACCCTGACAGGAACACCAAAAGCACGTGCTAGACCAAAGTCTGCCAGTTTGATGACTCCTTTGTTGTCAATCAGGAGGTTCTGGGGTTTCAAGTCCCGGTGGAGGACCCGACGACAGTGACAAAAGTAGATGCCCTCCAAGATCTGGTAAAGGTAGCTCTAAAAGGAGGTGGAGGGTAGGTGGAAGAGAGTAAACATGGAGATGGACAAATGTTTAGAGTTGTGAAACTATCATTGGTATAAGAAGGAACATCTGATGGAGGAGCAGTTTCTCCCCGAGCAATATTCAATGTCAGGACAACCTACTTTAGTTTATCATTCAACAATGCTACAAATGTTGTGTGTGGTGGGATATGGAGAGTCAGGATTGGTAATACTCTAGATTCAAACCTCTTTTCCTTGGAACCCCTAATTGCATCTAAGGGCAGACTCTCACTAGGCAACCTGTACCGTGCCCAAAACCGGTTTGACCCCTAAAGTCCAGTTTGTTTGACTAGTGCGAGTGCTCCAGTCCATGCTCAAACAATTCCTTGGCCCTGTCACAGATAGAAGAGGTGTGCTTCGGCACAGTACAGTTGCTCATTCACGGGTCAACAACATTGACATGAAGCATAATGGATACCCGCCTCCATTATTGCGAAAACTCAGAATGTTATGGCTGTATTTAACTAAAATAATTCAAAATGATCCAAAAGCCCTGACGTGCGGGCGTGGACTTGACCGCACATCCCTTTAACTTTTTATTCCACCTGTCTTCTAAACTAAGCATGCTTCATGATCACGTAAAGCCATCACTGCGTTGTATGATAATGTTATGTATGCACCCCTTAAGAAAAGCTGAGGCCCCCATCAGAAAAAACTGATACATTGCTGTCAAGAAATAATACAAGTTTTAATTGAAAAACAACAGAATAAGCCTAGACATACTATTTTTTGCACTGTAAATAAACTTTTCTTTAAACCAAGTGGATCCTCAAGTGTTGAAAAATGAAGCCAAAGCGGAAGTGCAAAAAATAGCAGTTCCTTGAGTGACTTCAAACCACCCAGAAGTCCTAGACAGAGCTACAGAGAGCTACAAGCGAGTTCTGTAGCCTTTTATCTCTCATGCTCTGTAGTCCTATGTGACTGTCCATGGATTTAGAGGAGGGTGTTCTTTGGGCCAACAGTTTGACAGGTGTTGTTCTGAATTAATTTGCTTTTAAATGTTTTGGCAGCAAAGGGTTTAATTGCAGCAAAGATATTAGATATTGCTTAAGTCGTACCGGTACTTTAAATCTTTGAGGGGGAAAATAATAAGAATGCTCATTCATGTATTGTCACTGAATGTCAAGCCCTATGTAAAGGGTTTAAAATGTTTAACTTTGGGCTGTCACACTATTAACAAACATATTCAGATTTAAGAACCTTAAGATGAATCAGTGAGAGAGTTCATCAGCAAACACATTTACCTTCACCAGCATAGGATCCATGTACTGGCCAGAGGGGATAGTGTCCAAGTACTTCTTCAGGTCCATAGACAAAAACTCAAAGATGAGGTAAAGACGAGACTCCTGCATCAGGACATCCAGGAGCCTGTGAGAAACAAATACACACATTACTACTGAGTATGTTTATAGTATATTCATGGATATATTTCCTCATATGCAATGACTGTCTTTATTCCCCCTTACTCACATTCTGTATGTGAAAGGATCAGCTGGGAGTTTGTACTGTAAGTAGTTGCCTTGAATGAAAAGCTTGTTACAGGCTACAAGATAGGGGTATGACATAAATATACACACCTATATAAATAATCTTTTTACACAACCAGTGGTTATGAGAACTTTAGGGGTTTAATCTCTGTCTCATAGTGTTGTAAATCACTGGTGGTCTTACTAAAAACCCACGTTTGACATTCTTTTATATCTTGTGAGTGGTTTCTTTAGCAACATGCCAACTCACAACGCCTCTCGAGTTACACCATTAACGGTATTTGTTATTGCAGCAGGTAAGATCTTCTTGTTGTCCAATTTAATCTCCACTCTGAATGACAATCACTGCTGAAGATGTAAAGCCAATCATACCGTACAACATTTGGATGCTTCAGCTCCTGAAGCAGAGAGACCTCTCTGACAGCAGTGCTGGGAACCCCCTCCTCCTCACTCTCCAGACGGATCTTCTTCATAGCCACAACCTGCCCTGTGGCCTTGTGCCTGCCTTTATACACCACGCCATAAGTACCTGCAAAAACAAGTCAACAGAGTTCATCTACTCATACTAGGCAACTCTAATAAACATACATCTAATAAACGTTTTTAGGTAGGTATCCCATTATAGTGGCAGAATATCTGTGGAAACAATAACAAATATAACAAACCTTCTCCAATTTTCTCTATTTTCAAATAGTCTTCCATTTTCACCTGAAATGAAGAAGAGATAAAACATGTTAGTTACAGATTATGACATGAAGTGCCTCTCTCTAACTTAAGATCGACGAGGCAGTGAAAGACTAAAGTTAATAAGATAAAGGTTGAATAATGTCCATCATGTTACATTTCTACAAAGTGTCCTGGTCTGTTCACCTTCAGAAACTCACGTTGACGTTATGACGTCGGTATTTCAGACTGTACGACAAACCGCTTAAACTTCAATGTGTAAATTTGAGTGTTTTCAGATTGTCTCCCTTCGTACTTTAAGCCTAGCTTCAGCTGCTTCCTCGTGTACCTCCACGTTAAGTCAAGAATAATATAATAATGACGACACTTATATAAACCTGTAAGTTATCCGTGAAAAGGCCAGTTTCCTCAGGCTGAGCTATAGAGCTACTTTAGCTTAAGCTAGCTCACTTAAATCATCGTCAAACTGAACATTTACACCGAGGAAAACACTTTCTCAGCAGACTAGACGGTCCAATTCTTACCTAAACTGAGATAAAAACTCAATATCCCAACATCTGTACAGTAGAATAAGGATTACCTGAGCCGTCTCGTTGTTACTCTGTGTTCACAGACTGCCGCTGGAATGCTGACAAAGTCATTTGAATTGACCGCAGTACAGCAGCGGTTCAAAACGGACCAATGGGCTCCTGTGACGCATTTCAAAACCAGCTAATCAGAAAGCGGCTGGCTGCCATGTTGGATGAGCGGGAGCGAACGCGCCGGCGTAGTCGACCCAGTCCTCCGCCCCCCGAGCTTTACCTTCCTAACAAACATACAGTGATGTCTGTCATTGTTTTGAACTGGTTTAATGTGTTGCACAGGGAATCGTAGATTTACTAATTAGGCTCTACTAGCACGGTATTTGACTTTTGTTGAGTAAACATTAAAATGAACTACTATTACCTGTGTAATAAAGAAGATAATAAACAAGACAGACATAAATACAACATATTTATATAGCACAAATTAAAATTCAAAACAACATTGATTATAATTGGAGTAATATGTGCTCAGTGTGCCAGGATTTTAAAAGTTCACTAATAAGTCTTAAAATCAAATCAAGACTAAACAGGTAGCCATGCAGTTTAAACAGGAGGGCTCTATGAAACCTCATTGTACCAGTTATAATAGTACTGAATTGTTTACCTCTATTGCTGTTACTTCAAAGCAGAGATAAAGTTTCTAGTAGAGTTTATTTGCTACCCTATAAGTAAGTATTCATTTTATTTTAATCCTACCAGTTTAAATATTAAATGTTTTTTTTAATCATTTGAACCAGACACTAGAGGCTGTTAAGGTACTGTCATTAATACAATTAATAAACTGGTTGGTAAATGGTCTCCACACACAGCAGGGATGTTTTTAAGTCAAGCAGCTTTGTGTAGTTCAAAGTGGTCAAATAAACAAGAACATCCTTTTGTTGATTTGTTTGTAGCTGCCTTCACAGCCCCAAGGTCAGAATTTATTCAGTTTGAACATGTACATTTAAGTTACACCCACAGAGATTCTTAAAATGAATGAACAATATACTTCTGTGTATGTTTTCTTACTGATAACTATTAACAACATTAAATCTTATGAGTCTCAAAATCATAGCATATTGATAAATCTGTCATACAGTCATCAGTCCTTAAAAAAAACGTAAAACTTTAAAACAATAAATAAAACTTAAACTTTCTGAGAAATACAATACGATTCCAGTGATGTAAGAGATGTACAAAACAACATCTAGTTAAGCAATAATGTAACTGCACTATGTGAGATTTATCTGTCCAAACACTTCACATCCTATATTAACATATTATGTACAAAAGGCATGCCTTAATCCACATGTGTGATGGATCCTGGAATTATGAAAGAAAGGCTTGGATATGTAAAATATGCATGTCCTATATGAAACACATTAAACAGAGACAATGTGATAGTCACTGTGCTTCAGCAAAGCAATGACCTAAAAGAAGCCCATTGTCTATTCTGGGACTATAAAAGAAACCTATGCAGCGTCATACTTTGAAGCTATCTATTCACATATTTAAGAGAATCCACAAAACAATCTTGAAGTATTACAATGTGAATTCTATATTGCAAGAGAAAAGGTGAATATGCAGTTAAACATGACAAATCAAAATGTCCTTTGATATGATGCAATTTCAGTAGTTTCCATGCGCAGTGAAAATAGTAATTATTTATTTCTAAAAAAACGTACTCTGGAAGATCTGACACTGACTTATTGTATGGCAAAGAAAACATGTAAAGCTACTGAGCTTAAAGTTCAGATTGGCCTGTTTATTTGTAAGATGTGAATCAAAATGTGAACTGGAAGGCTGCTTCCCTGCTCTACTTTGAAATACTAGTCACACAGTAGTTTTGCACAATATTAGAGACTTAGTTTAAAACTATCTCCAGAAGGTCGAACCAACTTGCGGCAAGTAAGCCAATGTGCAAATAAAGCCCACTGCTGTGCACTGGTTGATTGATCTCTCATCATGTCTGTCCAAACAGCAAATACAAGACACTAAGGAAGTAATGCTGAAAAATAGGACTAACAAGATCTCACACCAGTATTGCCAAATTGATGAATTAGATCCACAACTCTAGTCAAAGTATCTGGCACAACTGACTGTTTCTACATTTCTATTCCAACAACATATGATGCTGTATAAGGAGCACAGACTAAAAGAAGTGACATGCAGACAGGATGCAGCTGAGCAGATAGCATTGAACTGTTACATAAAGTGAAAACCAACAATTAGCATGTACAACACAAATAGCAGGGCAGTGCAGAGGAAACCTCTCAACCCCAATGTTGTTCACTTGAACTGTTTATTTATTTTTTATTTTTTACAAGTTTGTAATTCAACCCGTCGACAAAATACTTTGTCCCCTATTATCGAACATCAAGACTCAGTGCGCCCATCTGATTGTAGTGAACTGGCATAGTGAGTCGTTAACTCAGCAGCTCTTTCATTTCTCACAGTGAGACAGTAAGGTGTCACAAAGTAGTTCATATCATTCTGAAGTGCTCCTGTTATTAATATTCTGCTGACCTTTTCCATTTTTACAAATACAAAATAACAAAATTCAAACTCCTAGGCAAAAATTAAATTGAAACAGTCTCTGTAATACAGTCAAGCGTACATGCCATGTGGAAAAACATTGTGAACCTCCAGCAAGTCACATAAAAAAAGATCAAACTGGTACATGTGAAATTCTGACTGACGGATATCCGTCATAAGTTTTCAGCCCAAAAACATTTTGAAAATATCACATGACAGTTGTATTCTAGTGTAAACATGAGAGTAAACCCTTTTAGAAACGATACTGTTAATATTTATTGTATGCTACAGCATTCCATCATTAAGATCAAAATGGAAGGCTGCTAAAACTTTGTAGGTTTAACTTTCAGAAATAGAATGATGCTGAGAGAAATGTTCACCTCATCAGCAGTTTCTTACATGGATTACCCTTGTCTTTTTATTAGCTCCACCCTCTTCATGCATTAACTGTCCCCATACCGCCCTCTGTAATGCTGCCATTTACATGAAGCACCACTGTTGTCAAACTAGAAGCCTCCAGGTAAAAAAAAAGACCTTAGTTTGACATTATAACCTAAAAAGTATGAACGACAAAAAAGAAAACAACAAATACTAGTCTTATTTTTCCCAATTGGTCTGCAAACACCTATTTTGTTACTTGTGTTGTTAAGGTGTTCTATAATTCACTTAGCAGAAGGTGTTGCTCTTAAAAAGTTCATAGAAGTATTTCAATGCACAAGATTCATCTCATTAGGAAAATGAAAGAAACTGGGCAGCTGTCAAGGAAATCTTCCAGTGATGTGTGGGCCTGGTGTTGGCTTTTAAGGCAAGACCATTAAAGTATAGAGTTTATCCTCTGAGAGCAACAAATGTGCAAATGAAATGTCATGACGATCTGCCTATCAGAGCTTCATAGTTGAGTCTAGTCTCTGTCAGTCAGTAGTGAATGTGAGAGGTGGGGCTGATAAAAAAACATTGAGGGTTTTTTTAAACAAGAGAATTCATACAATTGAACATGTGAATTGCAATCGTGACAGCTTTCTGATACCATGTCACAGACCACTGTGTTGATAGGAAATAGTCCCCTTATGATGACAAACAGGTCAAAATTAGGTTTGAGGGTTACCATCAAGTTGAGATTCTTCTTCTGGCAACCATGAATATCCAAAGTAAACTAAATAACTGGTCAGCATTTGAGATATGTCACTCAGCTAAAGTGCTTCAGAAAGGAGTGGAGGACCACTTAATAGGTCCGGCTTCTTTCAGGACAAAAGCGCACCACTAATGAGAATACCTTGAAAACCGTATGCATTTACTGTATATGTTCAGTTACAATTCAAAACAACACAATGTATTTGTCTATTTTTTAAACACATAAGCATTATTTCAGTCACCATGTGCCATGCACACAGATGATGTTTGATGGGTGACAGAGACTCGAGTGAGTTCATCAGTGTGGGTCCGTGTCTTCCACTCGAGGTCTCCAGACTGGTGTTTACCAGTGAATACTTCTAGGAGGTCACTGCATTGTAAATGTAACATGAGTAGTTTCCTCCAACATCAAAATGTAAACCCATTTTTAAAGAATTTGCGTTATTCTGTTTTAAGTGTGTCAGCCTGAATTGAAGATGGTAAGACTGTGTGTGTGTGTGTGTGTGTGTGTGTGTGTGTGTGTGTGTGTGTGTGTGTGTGTGTGTGTGTGTGTGTGTGTGTGTGTGTGTGTGTGTGTGTGTGTGTGTGTGTGTGTGTGATGATCAGCCTGGAGATTTTGACACAGCTTTCTTCCATTTTTTTCTCTCTTTAAAATGGCATCTCTCTCTCTTTCTCTATCAATCAATCAATCTATCAATCCATCTATTGCTCTCTCTGTCTCAATCTCTTTTTCTTTCATACTTGTCTTTGATCGTCTCTCCTTTCCTTTCCTTTGAGTCCGCCTCTCATGGTCCCTTCCCCTCCTCTCATGTCAGAGGTCAGCCGTCATTGGGCTCGGCAGATTCTTCCAGTGCTCTGCCACTTTTAAAGATGAGATGAGGTGGAGAAACAAAGCTTCAGGGTGTATGGATTGGACCCATCTGAAATACAAAACACACGCACACACATACACATACTTAGTAGTGGATCCTAAGACATACCCATGCCCCTCTACAGAAAACAAAAATCATAGAAATATCTACAGACACTACAGTGTAGGAATGCAGCACAGCTAGCAGAAGCATACATCTTTGTCTAAATCTGAGTCAGTCATCATGGAGAGGCTAGTTTAACTAGCATTAAACATTCATAAAACAGGCATCCCATCCAGCTTATTATTGTTCTGATTTTTGAAAAAGTTAAGTTTTTTTTTTATCTGTTTTGAATAAAAAATAAAACGATAACCGATAAAATCCTGCAAAGTTGTCTTATTCCAATTTCAGTAAACTTCAAATGTAATTTATTGTGTTTATTTGTTGTTGTTTTGTCAGAGTATTGCACAGAAGTACCAGAGCCAGAGTGTTTGTTAATCAAGAATAATATGAACACCACAATTGGCAGGTTGTCTGAAAATTCTCCCCCTTATTCTTGTACATATACAAAACTTATTTTATGTATTAATTAGGCTGTTATGAGGAAGCATATGTTTATTTTATATATATCTCTGACCCCACACACAATGTTTGAAACTGCCTCCATTGTTTGACCCAAGAAGGAGAGCAGGGGAAACAAGTATGAGAGAGTGCAGCATCACAACATGTTCACTATTAAGCAGGGAGCCGTATTATAGAACAGGAACTGTGAAGTGAAATACTTGCTTATATTGCACAGATTTCACTTTCAGATACATATAATCAATCAGTATGAGATCTTGACAGAGTAGATATCTTGTATACATGCTTTAACACAGGAAGTGTCTTTTGGACGGACTTACTGGGTATCCTGATCTGGTAATGATTAAGAACAGTAAGAACCTCCACAGCCTCCGTCTTACTATCAAACTCCAACAAGCCAGATATGGTCTTAGAGGAGGCTGCATGAGATATCCAGAGGAGGAGATTCAAAGAGAGGTAGAGAAGTGAAACCGAAATGAGGAAGAGGAAAGAGAGATGGTCAGAGGAGGAAGTCACTTTTAAAATCACTGTTTAACACAGAGAAGTAGAACGATTTAATCTTCTCAGACTGAATTTCTCAGACTGAAATACTTACGTTTGGCATCAAACATCTTGAATTTGACAAAGCCAGGCACATCATACTCCGTACACAGCTGAAAAGACACACATAGTACTTCATTTATGGGAGGAGCTGCTTTAGACAAGATAATACAATCAAAAATAAAAAAATAAATAGAAAAAATGAAACATTAGGCTGCCCCAATCAACATTAAAGTTCTGCTAACAGTCCTGTTGTGGACGTCTTTTTATTAGCTCCATCTCCATTCCTGTTTCCTTGTTTGTAAGTGGACTGAAAACAACAATGTTACCTTTAGCTAAAATTGCTGTTGCAGAGTATATAGTGATAGGGGTTTGCCAATGGGTTCAGAGATTGATGCTTTGGTGAGGTAAGGCAGAAGTCAAACCCAGGAGAGGCAGTCTAGTTTGAGTTAATTTCCCTGACCTGGCAACCTACTTTGCTTTGAACTTTTGACCAAATTAAACTGGCTAACTAACCATATCCCTGTAACAGCCTGTAAGCCTGCGGAGTCTTGCTTTTGCATTTGGAGTTGTTGAGTCTCTCAACCATTTGAATTGATTTGTCAGTGTCATACCCTCAGTAAATGGTCCTGTGATATGCATGGAGGAACGTTGTAGTAGTGTAACACTGCAGATGGAGGCTGGATGATGTTTTTGGAGGCCTGTCCAGCACTGCTGAAGCGGTTGTTCCTGGTCATGGCAAAGTCCTTATAACTGCTGCTGCCATCCTCCAACTCAAACACCTGACTTGGGATCACTGCATGCTGCTTAGACACACTTCACACAACAAATCCATGCATGTCAAAACTACTTCAAATAGAAGAGTAAATATCCTATAAACACAACCAAATGACATCATGGGGTCATATTAAAGGATATGAAACGTAAACATTTTAAACTAATGTGTGACTTGTTGCTGTGGCTCACCAAACATTGAGTCTCTTGCCGAACACCTTGATGCTGTTGAGGTGTGTGATGGCTCGATCCACAGCATACTCATCTCCCATCTCGACCAATGCAGTACCAGGAACACTCTTCATGAACTTCACCTACAAAATATACAATCACAGTAAACAGCTGTCTTATTAAAGCAGTGTACATTATGATTGAGCTGTACATACTGAAAGAAACACTCAAATGAACACATTTATTCCAGGAATAGAGTCATTGATTTGTCATTTTATAACAAGAGTTGCATAATTAAATATTTTTACTTTCACTTGAATATGACAAGAATCATTTGTTATGTGTATGCATTAAGCAACGAAATAAGAAAATAATGAATATTCTACAGCAGGGGTGGGCAACTGGGGGCCTGGGGGCCACATGCGGCCCTCATTAACCCTCAACGTGGCCCTCAGGTCAATTTTTCCATATCAATTAATTGGAAAAATGAAGAAAACATGACAAAATCTGCCATGAAATCATGAAAACCAGAAATATGTCCATAAAAATATTTGATCACTGGTATATGTTGAGTAAATTTGAGACATAATTGACTTAATCCTTTTTGTATACTACAATTTGGCCCTCTGGCAGGGAGGAGAATTAAATGAATGAGGCCCTTGCTGTGACCAAAGTTGCCCATCCCTGCTCTACAGGGTCCTTACATAATGTTGGGTGTTATCAGAGCAGTATCAGGTTCTATGAAATGAAGCCATTCAGCATTCGTTGTTTTTATTTTTCAAACGTACTGTATCAGTCTTTTTAAAGACCAATACCAAGTTCTAGGATGGAATTAAGTGTAATGTCAGCCTAGTTTTATTGACTCTTCTAGAATTCATTTTGGGAGGTCTGTCCTTTGAGCTGTACTTTCAGAAGTGTGGGGCTGTGTCTGAAATCACTCACTCATTCCCTACTCCCTATCCACTATATAGTGCACTATACAGTGGATAGGGAGTGATTTCAGACACAGCCTAGGTGACATTGGCGACTTCATTCCTGCACCCTAATAGTCCCAAAAGTATTGAGTGGTGTTTAACAGCATTAAAATCCAGTTGTTTCTATAATGGACATGAAACAGAAAACCCCATTGGAGACGTATTTTAAGACTTACAAATACAAAACACCTACCTTCTCAATATTGCCGTAGAGGCAGAAGAGGTTGAAGATCCGTGTGCAGTTCATCTTGGAGGAATGCAGGCCGCTCACCATGGCAACAGAACTGGGGGCATGACCAGAGTACGAGGATGATGATTGGGGCAGAGGGTAGGAAACCATGTCTGGAACATCCACTGAGGTGAGCTTGTATCTGCTGTTGCCGGGTAGAGGCAGTAGGGGGCAGGGTGGACCTGAGGAGGCAGAGAAAATGCATTTCAGTCATTTTACTGAAGTCACCTGAGTTAATTGTTGATGTCGGATGTGACTGTGCTCCCTTCATGACAGTTTACGTTATTTGCAAGTGAGGCTTTCCTGAGACAACCTTGGATTTACTCTGTTCTATACATTATCTTTCTCAAGAAAAACTCATTACTTGATTCCTGGTTTTAACCAATACACAGTAATAGTACAGTGTTTCACTGCATCCTTGACCTTAATGAAGAAAAAGCTGTCTTTGTGAACTTATTGCTTGATCTCTGCTGAGGGGAGACCTTTGACCCACAACCTATGTTTGCACTAAATCACTTGGAAAGAGCAATGATCAATGAGAAACTCAGACAAGCTGATCAGTGACTTCACTCAGACTTTTGCATTAAAATTCTGGCTTGAAGGTTTGTTGTAATCAATCCCGAAAAGGCAGCGTGGTTTATGTGCAAGCTGTGTGGTACTGACATTACCAGTATCAAATAATATAAATACATAAATATAAATGACTCTTCTTCCACCTAAATGTGTGTCAAGCTTTGTGTGTACATGTACGTATTGGGAGGCTCCTTAAATTAAAGACAAAAGTGTAATTGGCAGGGATTAGTTTCTGATTGCAGGTGAAGATAATAAACCTTTATACACCTGGCCATCACACATCAATCTAAACTTGTACAAGGTTCATATATGTGTGTGTGTGTGTGTGTGTGTGTGTGTGTGTGTGTGTGTGTGTGTGTGTGTGTGTGTGAAGAGTGTTAAGTTTCACCTCTGAGAAGTTGAATGAGGACTGTGGATGAAGTAGAATCCTTGTGTAAGGTAGCAGATTCAGTTACCAAAGTAATTCTTAAGTGTGTGTGTGTGTGTGTGTGTGTGTGTGTGTGTGTGTGTGTGTGTGTGTGTGTGTGTGTGTGTGTGTGTGTGTGTGTGTGTGTGTGTGTCACAGTCTTACCATAGCCGTTATCACTGTAAGATGATGGGTGTTCCCCTAAAATGGCTTGTCTCTGCCTGCCCTTTCCACGGTCTGAAATACACACAAACAAAACCATACAAAACACGCACACATAATTAGATTTTGTGAAGGATCCAAATTAACTTACCTAGAAACAAAAGGCTTCATTCACAGACATAGTCTTTGCATTTACTATTTCTGGACACTCCATATTATAATTGTAAAAGGTACAGTGTATTATTCAAGGCTGCTTGAGTTTCCCTTTCCACTCGTCTTTAGAGATGTTGATGTGTTCCCAGATCTCAGCAGTTTTAATTGTTTATAGATCACAACACAAATTCCTAATAAGTTAGGATGTGGTGTAAAATGTAAATAAAAAAATAATGTGATGGTTTGAAAAATATGAAATCTCTATATTTGCGTGAAAATAGCACGAAGACAACATGTCAAATGTTTAAATCAAGAAATTAAGCCAACAATGTTTCAGAAGTCAAAAGAGTTGGGAAGGATGCAACAAAAGAACAAAAGGTTAGCGACATGAACAGGTATAAGAAGAGCATATTTCTGAAGTCAAAATGGGGAGGGGTTCACCAATGTGTGAAAGACTTGTAAAAAGTAAAACACTTAAAGAATAATGTTAATGGACGTAAAATTGCAATTAATCGAGGGATTTCATCGTCTACAAGCACATCATATCATTTAAAGATTCAGATAATCTGAAGAAATCTCTGTATGCAAGGCACAAGTCCCCAAAACAATACTGGATGGCTGTGGTCTTTGCTCACACGGCCCTCATCATGTAATGTGTTCTGTATGGGTTTGAGTGTTTTGGTTGCTGAAACTGAGTGTTGCTGCTGTAATTGGCGAGGTCCCCCTTGAAAAAAAGATCCCTGATCTCAATGCAACTAATCTGTCTAAACAAAAGTGAAATAAATAAAGAACACTGTGTCAACCTGACTAGAGGTTTAAGCTCACAGCACAGTCTCTGAGGTTCAGTTTAAACTCCATCAGCTAAGATAACCGATCCCCCCCCTTGTGATAACAATATCATATATTTGGTCACTACCCAAAGCTCAAAACCATTTTAAGAACATTAATGAAGATTTGCATGGAGATGGACTTGTAAATTGAAATGTGCCTTCATTGAAAGCCCTTGTGTTACAGTTGTCGAGTTCTATACCCCCATTTCTTCTACTGGGAGGAAAACATTTAAATACATTGCTCTGCTCAGCATCTGGGAATTTCCCTTTTCCTACAGAGTGAAGCATCCTTCCAAGGCAAACGATGGAAAACAAAATGTGAAAAAAACTTAATTTAATAGCAAACAGACATGGGAACATTAATAGATTTCAATAACGCAAGTGGATTTGGACAACTAGGTTATGATCGGGCCCAAGTGTTCCCAGTCAGCCCATGTGAACAGACCAGCCAAGCAATTAGTTTCTACATGCAAGAAACAGGCACAAGTAAACTGATCAGAGGGCAATCAGAATTTCCAGAACAATAGATTGTCAGAAGACACCTAAAAAAACATTCTCTAGCTGCTGCTGCACATTCAGAATTAAATTGCTGAGATTTGAGACACAACATCTTTTTGGTTTAAAAGTTGAATCTCAGTTTACCATTAGCAGCCTGTATTCTCTGTAGGGGGAAATAAAATATTTTTTCACAATAAGCCAAAAAGAGCATGTAGCTATGCATTTTTGAAACAGACTTGTATTGTGGTTTAAACACACATGCAGACGCAAACATAAACTATGAAGCTGAGGGCTGGCCTGATGTTAAATCACTCTTACAATGTACAGGATTTCTTTCATTCAGAGATCAGAATAAAATAAAAACAGTTAAATGGTTATGTTCCAAAAGAATCTTGGGGAAAGAGATTTGTATTAAGTACAAAGGCTACTCTTTATTTACAACCACACCAAGGTCCCACCATAACCCACAGAAATGTCATTGTTCGTTTTTGTGCTAGAAAAATCAAGTTGATTTGGATTGCATTACTGAGATACGATCCTCAATACTCAATAACAGATCACCAATACAATGTATGGTACTGATGGGGATGAGTAATCAGAAAGAAAAACAGCTTTAAGGTGGTTTTATTCAGAGATACTTTGGCATGAGAGAGAGGGAGAGAGAGGGCAGGTTCAATGATACAGAGAGTCATGTGACCAGAGATAAAAAAGAGACAGTACCTGTGAGGCATCAAGCTTTCTCTTTTTTCTCCCTCAGCACGAAAGAACATCAACCTGCATTACATTATCATCATAATAAAATGATCATCATTATCACTGTCATACATTTTCATACAAACTTGCTCTAAAACACTAACATTACATACTGCAGTACACCACGTACAATCGTTTACTCCGTTAGAGGCACGTTGAAATGGCACAGGCATCTTTTACTTAGAGCCAAAGTCAGCTGTTTGGATGAAACACTACCCACCCACCCCACCCCCCCCCCATCAGAACGTCAGCACTTATGTGGCAGATTGCTGATGCATTGCTGTCTTGTGTCCTGAAGAAAGGCGCACACAAACATACACACACTCCTATCAAAACACACACACCCATTTAGAGGAGAGATTCTACAGCAGTGAAAAGTGAGAAGGCCTGAGGATAATCCTGACAGTGGGGTATCCACACTGACCTTCACTCCACGGATTAGCAGCACACACGCAGCACACACACAAACACACACACAAATTGCATGTTTCTCTGGTATGCTCAGAGAACCTGGTTAGTCTCAGAAGCAGCCGAGCTGAGAAACTGTTCCGATTATTTACTGCAAACAAGGTTGGCTGTGATCCGTCAATGCTTTGAAGCCGTCAAAAATGTTTCACCTCTTTGATTAGATTACATGCTTTGTTTTAGTAAAAGCTACGTATAGGAATGGATGAGAAGGAGTAGATGACAGTGCAAAATGGGTTAGCAGAGATAATATGCACTGCTGAATGCTGTTGTTTCAGTATAAAGATGGGAAAATTAAAAATCAATTCTTAGTGTTGGAAACAAGAGTTGACAGTAAAACATCCATGTCCTTTAAATAGGAAAGTAAAGATCGAGATTTGAGACGCATGGAAACCCTTTTTGGGCCAATTCTGCCCTTTATTTGATTGGACAGTTGAAGAGAGACAGGAAATGTTGGAAGGAGAGAGTGAGAAATGTCATGCAGTGGACTACAAGGTTTAACTTTCCATATTGTGCTACTGGTTCACGGTGTATGTGTGTAATATGTGCTATAATGTGTATTATGTGCTGTCCTGTATGTTTGTTGCTGTCTTTGTTATTCATATTCAGGTTTTTATGCTCTAGGTTTAAGACAAATTCCTCTCAGGGCAATAAAGGTTATTAAATTAATTTGTTCATTTATTTCAAAGCATTCCTTCATATCACTGTCCTAGTTTTACTATTTTCCAATGAGATTTTTATATTCTCAGAATTATATGACATCCCATAAAGACAAATCAAAGCAATCATTTTTCAGACCACTCCCCCTCGAGGTTTGATTAACTACCATCTGGAGTTACCACCTGCTCCACAGAGCTTTGATTACCAACGCTTGAAAAAAATGAAAATCTACAGCGACCGACGGCACCTTACAACACTAGCAGAACCAGAGGGATCCACCACACCTTTTATATATTAATGTGTCAGAACGGTAAGCCTCTTCTCTGTCCTGCATGTGCACCTAATGCAAGCTGATCTGAAGCAACAAGAGTCATACAATACCTCAACACACACACACACACACACACACACACACACACACACACATACACACACACACTCTCACTGTAGTTCATGCAGACTTAATGTCAGTGACATATTTTAAATACTGAAGCTAAACAAGAAGAGTAATTAAGGAATTCAAGTCATTCATCTGTCATTTATCAAAACAAGGTTGCACTGTTAAATGAAGATGTAGCCCTTTATGTTAGACACACATAAAACTACTGTGTCTACAAGAATGAATTAAGAATTACATTAAATATACTTTCACAATTAATCTCTTGTAAATATGGATATAACTATGTATACATGCGTGGAAAGGGGTTGAAGAAAGTAAGCGCTGAGAAGAGGAGAGAGTGATAGAGAAAGGAAGAACAGAAAATGACAGATTGCATTTAGGAAAAGTGAAGGAAAGGTAACTGTGAAGGTCTCCAGACACAAGTAAAACAAATTAAAATGAAGGTACGACACATGAGAAAGAAGTGTAAAGGAAAGAGAAAGACTGAAAGAGGGCGGAGGATGTAGAAAAGAGAGAGTGCTAAGAAGTTGGAGGGAGAGGTGGAGCAAGAGGGATGAAGGGGAAAAAGAAAAGATGAGAACCAAATGACAGGGAGAGGGAAGTTAGAGGATTAGTGGAAACAAGATGAAAGTGCAAAAATGAAGAGGGTGTCAGAAGAGAGGGGGTGTAGGAGCAGCATGAGAAGGTGAACAGAGGGGGATGAGCTGACGGGATGAGAGGAAGACATATTGGAGAAGAGTCACGTGTTATGAAAGCTGTGACCAAAGACGTTGCCGTGCAAAGATGTTGTCAACTTTTGCAAAGAACGTCAAGACTGGAAATGTTACTCGCTGGCATGAGATGAGCACGGGCAGGTGGGCTGTGCATCAGGAGATTAAAAAGGCACAAAAAAATCCACCGCACATCAGTGAAACCTGTTAGAGGAGCTGCCTGGGTAGACTTAAAAGGATAGTAAGAAGAGAAAATAATCACCCCCCCAAGCAATCTGTTCACCGTGCTGCTTCCTTTCTCAGACCCCCAAATTCATCCTCGACACTTAACCTTTAAAACATTTTGTTTCGTGTGAAGCATTAGGGGACTACAGCCTTCTTTTTATTGTACCACCCTGTTTGGTTCAATGAGAAATAAGAACCTCGACATATAAAAGTCTTAAGTGACCAGTTAGTTGGATAACTTATCAATGTCTGTGCCATTTCAATGTGCCTCCTTTCAAACAATAAAAACAGATGTACAATTATTGAGTGAATATTTTACATAAAATAGTGTTGGGACCAGTTCATAATGCTAATCATCTGATTCAACCATTAAGACAATAGACCACCTGTGGTTTCGTAAGTGGGCCTTCAGGTTTCAACGTTCATTCACACTAAAGGAACTCTGTGGAGTTTTAGACGTATAGTCGTACTGTGGAGCTGTTTTCAGAGGAATGGCCGCTTCTTTTGATACAACACAAAGACCTTCCAATGGTGCCAAAATGTTCTAATGATCTATACTGGTGTTCAAATGTAAAGATGTGCAGCAACGCACCAACGAGACAGGGAAGAAGAAGAATCGTATCTAGTGAACATGCATGAAAACAATGTTGCATTTAAGATACTTGAAAGAAAAAAAGCCTTCTAAATGTTTCTTACTTCTGGACTGACATGCACTCGACATGTTTACACATCCTAGACACCATGTTTCACCTCGTTTAGATGTTACTTTTGGTCGTTTACAAGAGAACTCCACAGGGCCCCTTTGGAATTCTGTTGGTTCTGAAGAAAGCAGTAAATAAATAATCAAATAAATCAAATAGTTCTGAACTTAACAAGGTTTAACAATGTGTAAACCAGAAAAGGGACAGCTCACTAACCACAGGCATGTACAGTACTTTGTATAATCAAAACAATTTGCCAGAAGGTGTTACTTGACAAATGTCAAAGTGGTGAGAAAAAATCATGAATCATGATGATTGCTGGTAAATTTCACTCCTACATTTCCTATAAATGACTGAATTGAGAATGAATTGACCCCAACATTACTCTTTGAAAACAGTGGTGAAATATTTTGGAGGTATCATCAACACACCGCATACAGTACACAGAATGGAGCATATATTATAGTTGACTGTACACATCAGGGCGGTGCATAGACTTCACTTACAGTAGACTGCTAATATCATATAGTAGTAAAACGTTCCTAAGCTTTGTTTACAATCAAGGCAAAGATACATTGCAAAAGCATTTATCAAAAATATACCAGTCCACATTATAAGAGCTACATGTGTGAAGGAACATCCATGCACATGTCTGATTGTACATCAGTGGTAGTGAGGGGGTTTGGACTAGGGCTGTCACAATACACTCGTTTCTAACATTACCAAAATAATACAAGTATAATGAATAACATAGGATTTAGTCAAACAGTAAGGTAAATGGTTGGTACTTTCAAACTTGGTTTTATTTTGGTTTTACTTTCTCATATATTGATTCCTCCAAAAGCACAGTCACCCACCCACACACACAGAGTGGGTGTAACAGGCCTTTAGCTAAAGCCAAAACATTACTGGTCATTTAAATAACAGTAAACACAATCAATAGTGCTATAGAGAGGACAGATTTTGCTTGTATAATTTAGTCCATAATGCGTAGTTCATCACCTTACAACTATCCTTCGCAGCCATAATTCTGCAACATTCTGCGACAACTTAAGTGAAGTTTGCCACTTCAAATAACTATTTCATTAATTCTTTATCCTGCCATTAGCATTTCACTACTATAGCAGCATATCTGTCCATTACACATCAAGGTGCCAAAAACCAGGGACATTTTTAGGCCAAATCAAAACGTATTAATGGTGTATGTTGACTAGAACAGGTACATTATTTATTTTGTCTACATTGACACTGCCTACACACCTGGTTCTGTAGTTCATTGCAGTTAATTCTGAGTTGGAGGTGAAAAAACACAGAAATTGCCAACTAATAATTGTTTAATCTAATATTATTGTTTATAATTTAAGATAATATCAAATGGAATGAAACGATCCAAGATGAAATAAACTTTGATGACCCCCCCCCAGAGGGAACTTGTTATAGCCTTGTGAATAAGATTGAATCATAGTTCTTAATATTACCATGTTATTTCTAGTGGTGAGATGTTATTTGTATGGAAAAAAAGTTGTTGTAAAAATGTTATATTGTGACAGCCCTAACTCAGATGAAGCAAAGTGACAAGAGACTAGACATTAGGCGAGACTAATATACTGTAGACTGGCATAACCCAACAAAATCTGATGTCTGGTCCACAATGACGAGCTTTAAACCAGACAGATCCTTAAATCAGATTTGTTTCTGGCATATTGCACTTTGTCTTGTTAGGAAATCTTAATGTCGACCACTATAGAACCACTGATTAAAATAGATAATCAAGAGGCCCTTAAAATGTGTGACACACTATGTGGACCAGACATCAGGCCATGCAAGACTAATCCTTCAGAAAGAAGAGACTGACATCACAGAGTGGAGTAGCTAGATAGAGTAACTGAAGTCTTGCAGACAGTGGTGGGGCTGAGGCCTCCTGGGCATGTTGAAGCAGCAGCTGCATGGTTGTCAGTAGAAGTGAGATCCATCCCTTTTTCTCCCTCTCTTTTTGCTGGGTTGCTGGAGGTGAAGATGGAAGAAAGCTGCTGTGCATGGTCAGCCTGACGTCCATCCCTCTCTCTGTCCCTCAACGTTTCTCTCTCTCTCTCTCTCTCTCTCTCTCTCTCTCTCTCTCTCTGTGTCTCCTCATGGTATGCGAAGGTGCAGGTTTGTGAGAGACCGGTGATTGGCTGGTATGAGAGTGTTTTGATTGGAGATGAAGAAACGGGCGGCAGAGGAGTCTTGGTGTGATGGAGGTCTACGGTCCAAACTGCTTATGACTACACTCTTAATCCCCAGTCAGAGACTAGCCTATGACGACTGGAAATCTATACACAGTTTCAAAAAAAGGACTTGAAAAGAAAAAATAGTTTCATCTATTGATGTAAACCAAGGATGCCTGCTGCGGATGGAAATGTGTCACTACAGAAAACTCTTTGTCAGCAAAGAAAGATTTACCCTCCACTTCAAAGGATGTGTCCTAATGGTGCATGGGCTGAAGGTAGTGTGAATAAAATATACACATAAATAATGTGTCTTACCTCGTCGGACCAGGTATGGTTTAGTGTAGTCCCAGCTCTCGTTGTCATTCTTAATCACATTCAGACGTGTTGGCTGTTGATACAAAGATGAAAGAAGAACTTAGGATACTATCAAATCTATAACTGGTACACAGGGTCTGCATTCTTAATTATTATTTATTTACTGTACAATCATATGTTCACATCTATAACTACTGCCCTGACTTTTACACGTAAACGGACAGAAGGGAAGGTATAATTGCACAAACTTGCAACTTTTTGCTAGAAATAACAATGTAAAGGAGTTGCCTTTTCTCTGATTTATTTTTAGGTTTAGTTTCTGAGGCAGGATTTCTGCCATCAGTTCATTATCAGGAACAAATATGTCACTTAGACTTAACAGATACAGCTAAACCTCAGCTCCCTTCTGTTTTCAACTCTCCAACTGTACCGGCATTACTCCGGCTAATAAAAGCCGATTGTCAGACATGCCAACATAATGCACTTCCTGCCGGCCTCCTGGCAGCACACCAAGTCAGTTAGTTCATCCACTTTGTTGGCAAGTGATCCCACAATTAATATTAGAATGGTTGGAAGAATAGGTTTTAATATCCTGTTCCTCTCTATCCTCTCTCTGATTTACATCAGCTCTTCTTCAGTAGTAGTTGCATTGGGGCCGTTCCAGACTCTTTTGTTTGACTGGGATGAACCAAGTAGGGCACTGATTGATGCTGAGGTGGACTGAAGTTTGTGTGTGTACACAAAATGCATTTATTCACCCTTTCCATCTCAACTAATCATACACACTTTAACTACTTATATCAAAGTATCATACAGATTTAATATTCCTGCTTACACTTAAAAAGAAACTCAACATGTTAATCTTTTGAGCTTAATGCTTTAAGGACTCAAACAGAAAATGTTTTTCTAAAGTCATAATTTAAAGTGCTCACAAAGAAAGATCTGCTGCATTTAAAGCAGCCTGTTGCAACACCGCCCAAATAGTTGGTTTTAACACAAGTGTCTGTTATAAAGCAAATAACAAAACATTGCTTAGGATTTTAGGGAAATCGATTAACAGGTTAGAAACAGTGAGGCGTGTACAGAATAATACCAAAAGTATTTTAGAAATGGAAAACAGTGTGGAGGAGAGAAAGTGAACACTTCTTAAAAGCTTCTTAAAAGTACAATTTGAGTAAAGAAATAAAATGACAGGAAGAGGAGGATGATTTTGAGGTGGCAATTTAGATTGCTAGGGTGGCCCTGACCAACCCCTGGATTAGGCCCTGTCTCCGGTTGGGGTGTGAGTTACTGCCTAAAGCAAAGGAGTTCCTGTTCTACCTTCGAAGATGGGTAAGGAGCTCAGACATGAGGAAGGAGCTCAGAGTGGAGCCACTACTTCTTTCTGCATACAAAGGAAGGAGCCAGATGGTTTGGTTAAAGAGTCTGATTAAAATGCCTCCTGAGGCATGGGTCCAGGGAGGAGACCCCAGGGTTAGACCAAAGCTCATTGGAGGTATTTATATCTCATCTGTCCTTGGAACACCACAGGATTCCTGAACAATGCCACCCCAGATTAGTGGAGAGAAATGGTTGGTTGGTTGGTTGGATGGATGGATGGATGGATTCAATTTACATTTATTTCCCCCCTTATTCCATTTTTGTAACTGTACAAAATGGACTCATGCTACTGTATTCACCTGCCTTGGTAACTTTATTGCAACTATTCTAAAAGATAAAACTAAAGTGGTTTTTCTGAGCATTCTTCAGTTTTTTCAATGCTTGGATCAAGGATTCAGCATGTTTCAAGGCTTCTAAGTGTTGAGGTGTTCTTTGTCTCTTACCCTTGCATATTCAATCTTGAGTGTGCAGCAACCAGCATAGATGTCCGCTCCGTTCAGAGCAGCTTTGGCCTTCTGAGCACACTGAATGGACTCAAATCTGAAGGAGCCAGGTCAAGGAGAAGACACTGAATAGTATACACACACACACACACACACACACACACACACACACACACACACACACACACACACACACACACACACACACACACACACACACACACACACACACACACACACACACACACACACACACACACACACACACACACACACACACACACACACACACACACACACACACACACGCATGCAAAGACACAAAGTCGCACACTCAGTAAGGATACTCCACCATGGCTTGGATTCCATTTCGTTTAAAGATGACAATCCTCAGCACACTGCCGATAGGGTTACATACTGTGTACAGAACATCCTGGACCACAATGAAAAAAAAGAAAGAAATTCAACATTCAAATTAATCTAACAGTTTTTTTTTTAAAGCTACAGTTTCACAATGAGTCATGGGCAGGTCTCTTTTCAAAGGAACCTGGTAAGAACAGTTTTTGTGGTCACAGATTATTAGAACATGATGCAAAGAGGTTCGAGCACAAGGTACTTGTTTTATAACTTTTGGTCCAAAATATGTTAAATGGTTCACTTGCGATTTCCAGGTGAGCCTTGTGCGTGGAGGTTTGTTGTTAATGATATAGCAAATCAAAACAAAGTCCAAAAATAAGATGCAGATTAACATGCAACAACCAGCTGCACAAAACCATTAGAAAGGTTCAAGTTTAACATGAAGTGCATCCCAGGAAATGTTTTAACTTTTAACTTCAACTTTTAAATCATTACTACAGTCTTAAAAACACAAATTTGTACTGACTACGCCTCTTTGACTTTGAGTGGCAGCTGTAACCGATCAACAATCGCTTTAATCTGGCTATTTTTTTCTAAATTTGTAGCCCAATATTGTCTATTGATTAAACAGCACAGCAATGATTGCCAGCAGTTAAAATGCATTTGTCTATTGGCTATGAAAAAGCTTGCATATTTTGATAGAGGGCACAATTTGTACTCTGTCCTGACAAATCCCAGAAAAAAGTAAATAAAGGGTTAGTGTTAGGCACAGTATGAGATAAATAAATCCACTTTTCTGTACATTTCTGGGCCACCTGGCTGCTGTTGTTGTGTTGAAATGTTTCCCTGTCAGATGTTTCCTGTAGTGGTGATCTCAGTGGTTGGGTTTGGGTTAGGTTATGCTTTGACATAGCAGGATACAGTCAGGGAAAACACAAATTGACAGTAAACAGTCAACATAATTGCAGAAGTGTGTGTGTGTGTGTGTGTGTGTGTGTGTATGTGTGTGTTTACCGTGGTTATAGGGTACAGTGGGTTCTGTATGGACAGCAGAAGGACCTTGTTGCCACTGTTGGGGTTATCAGCGTTGGTCGGCCTGGTAATTCTTTTGGATGTGGAGTAATTAAAGTATGCCTGTTGGCCTGATGAAGAGATGGGAAAAAAAAATTACAAATACAGGATATTTAACCTAGTGCAAGAGTGGGTAACAAATAAATCACATCAGTAAGTTGTTGTGAAAAATGCATGAATCCAACCTGCAATGTATACAGGCTCCTTGGCACCACAGGACACACAGCGGTCCGCACTTTCCACGGCTGAGAACTCCACCAGAGCCTGACGCTTGAACGGCATCATCATCACATAACTGAGAGACACAAACACACAAACATATTTTTTTTTAGGATTTAATCTGTCATCCATACTCCCCCCTATGGGAACAACACAAAACATCTGATTGTGCTTGAATATCAGGATTACATTTTCTGGAGATCTGACAGTAGTTAGAAAGTTAAAGAGCACCCTAAGGTCTTTTACTGAAAACAAAAGTAAAGCACAACAAGCAAAGGCCTTCAACAGACCTGTCACATGTTAAAGTAGGTATTCAGTGGCTATTTAAGTGTGACACGTTTGTTAAACTATGTACTATATATAGCGGATAGTAGATACCACACTCACTGCTCTGTCTATATATTTCTCTCTCACACAAACCTTGCATACAAACAACAATTGTACACACACAGTTTCTGCTGTCTCACCATATAGATCCGAACTTCTCCAGGGCATCAATCAGGTCAGCTTCCACCACCGCCTCACACAGACCCCTGACATGGACCACCGGGCTTGGAGAGATGCGATGGGAGTCCTCACCATTATCCTGCAGCCCACACAGTAGACAACAATTGGACTAAATGGCGGTGTTCACATCAAGCTGATCTGCGGCTTGAAGCATTTTCACACCAGAAGTCTCAACACACAGAGGTCATGAAGCCAAAAGTGGAACCTTGAATAACTGCATAAAATACGATGTTTAAAACCATTGAGATAAACATTCCTGGTAGATTGAAGAGTTGTCTTTTTTCACAGAGTTGTAAATTCCTCTTATTGTTCCCTCAACCCCTAAAGGTTGAGTGACTACAGACTCTACCACTGAGCCACAGCAGCCACAACTAGCGGTATGTGTGTCTTTATCCACACATACTGGACCAGGGTAAACATTTTTTTATAACTCATCCATTTCAGTTTTATGAAGTACAAGAATGATTCATATGAAGGGGAGTGGCTGCTCTGATTGACAGGCAGGATTGTTGTAGCTGTTAGTCTGGAGGCTTAGGGCCCACCTCAGCATTCTGTCTGTTTCAGCACTTCCAATATAGCGACTGCTGTAGATTTCACCACCAACTTCCCCCAATTCTGTCTCAGTTTCTACCCCAGATGGCGAATCAGCCTTTCCACGTTTGTGCGACACACATTGCAGATGAGACGTACCAAAGGCTTAAGTATCCCTCCTTCAACTGGCAACTGAGTCATGTGTTCTTCCTTGGTGGATTTAAATGGCCAGGCTGTTGCTAGTAATGTAAAGGTGGGTGTATTAATACAATACCCCCCCCCCCAGTCCACAGTCTATGTTTCAATGGTTTCTTCCAGTATTACAAAGGTGACCCAATAAACTGGCTATGGAGGAAGCTCAATGGTAGAGTTGGTCGCTCTTAACCAGAAGATCAGGGGTTCGATCCCCAGCTCCTTCAGGCATATCTTGATGTGTCATTGGCCAAGACCCTGAACCCCAAACTGCTCCCGCTGCTGTGTTAGCAAGGTGTACACAGCAGCCTCTGCCATCTGTGTGTGGGTGAATGTGACACGCAGTATAATAAGTGCATACGGGTTGCAGTGGGGGCAAAAGCCAAGTTGCAACACCACAAGGCTTTTTTGGACTAAGTTATGAATGTGGAGCAGTGTTGAACTCAGAATCAGGACACAGGCTGAATACAGAAGAAGGAGTGAGTGACAAATAGAGAGAGAGATAGAGAGAGTATATGGGAAAATAAATTCTTATCAAATCCAGTCACTTCTCTCAGAGCTCCTCTTACCTTGTTTATCCCACTCTGTCTCTTTAGAACTTTAATGTTTTCCCATTCTCCAATTATTATCGCTTCCCCTTCTTTCTTCTTTGTCCTTTCCTTTCCAAATTGACATTTCTTTCAGTCTATATATAGAACCACATGGCTCATCTGCGCATTTGGTGAGAGAAAAAAGCAAGACACTAACTTCTGTAGTGTTTCTGGCTGCTGGCTCCTCTCTTTCATATATGTTGGATATATTTCTGAACACGCAGACTGTGACTGTGCAGGCTTCAAAGGATCAATCACATTTAAAAACTTGTTTTTGAGAACTTGATTTCCGGGGGGGGGGGGGTAATGGGCAGAACACAGATAAACAAACGTTTAAAAGTAACCCAGGGAAAGCTTGTTTTTGAAGACCCTCAGTGGATTTCAATCCGTTCCTGTGGCAGCAAACTCTAGCTGTATCAAGTCTTTACTGTTGGGTCTGGCTACAGGTAAAAAAAGAACCTTCTCCTGACCATACCAACTCACACCCATCAGTGATGCTGGCTACGTTCAGATGTGACATATTGCTTCAAACATAGAGTGCAAAAACACAGCGTTTGAATGCATATTTTCTGCTAGTAACTTTCACTAGCATCAGTAAAATAGCACTAATTTAAAAACTCATACCCACTTTTATCTATTTTTATAAGACAATGCAGAGATCATGAAAGGGTTTACTATTTATTTTGAAGTTAAGAGTTATTTTGTTTAAACTGCAGGATTTTATCCTACATATGCAGGATTGTGTCGAATGGAAACTTCTTTCAGCATAAGTCAGCAGTCAGCAGTCTGAAAATACTCTCTCTCTCTCTCTCTCTCTCTCGCTCTCTCTCTCTCTCTCTCTCTCTGCAGCAGCTCTCACACGAACACATCTAGCTTACACTTAAATCCCCCTGGCAACAGGAAGTGTTTTTTCATCAATAATTTGTTGTGCAATCTTTGATGTTGTTGATGATCTCACCCTATCCAAAAACTAGAGATCAATATTGCATAATTATTTGTGGTGTAGTGATATTTTTTCCATTACCTATGATCCCACTCATAGGTGGGATCACGTGCGGTGAACTGGTAGTTCATTCTGTCTTATGTTGTCTAGGTAGCATTACATCACTCCTATTCACCATCAGCTTCCTCTTCCTGTACAAACTAACCTCGGTTGGCTTGTGATGTAGTAAGTCAAGTCAAGTCAAAGTTTATTTCCAAAGCACATTTAAAACAACCTCAGATGACCAAAGTGCTGTACAGGTACACAATACAATACACAATATAACACACAATAAGTGGACTCATTCCAAAGCACAGGACTACAGCAGGCCGGGTCATTACCACATATTCAAGTTCATTTTCAGGTATAAATGTTGTGCATGTTTTCATGCTACAGATCACCAATTTGCAGATCACAAATCATAAGTACAATTAAATGATTGCTACTCAATCAATCAAGCGAGTTGATCCTAGTTCATTCTCTACATGTCTTCATTTTATGATTACAACGCAGTGTTATTCAGAAAAACTTCAACCAAGCTCATCACAATCAAACATATCTGTTCAAACAACCCTAGCTGCCTCAACAGGCAGTAGATTATAATCAGTTTTAACTCCAAATCCCTAATCTTGTTATAAGCAGCAGAAGACTTTTTTTTTAAGTAGGTTTAAGTGAAACAAGCTAAAGAGTACATTCTTTCTGAATGTGTGTTTAAGAGCATCAGCCTTTTTCCCAGCAGAAGATATAGTTCTCTAAAACAGGTCTCATTGGGGCCATCAAGTCTGTCTGGTTTCCTACCCCTATCAAGATGACATTTAAGAAATCAGATGAGTTCAGAATGCTAAAAGTAAGCATGTTTCTGAAGTGCATGTAAACAAACCAGCTCTAACTGAATTATCCCTTGACAGGTGAACTGGCTAAAAACCTTTGATCATTTTCGCTCCAGACAACTTTAAACAGATTTGAACTTCAATAACAGCTGACGCAACCAGACAGATAACAAAGCTCACAGGCCCTCTGGAGCAGGACTCCGATTTGATTTGGCTGTGGAGATAACATAACCACTAACGAAATAAGAAAAGGTTGACAGATATCTTTTTTTCAATAATTGTATCACTATCCTCTCTCGAAAAAAGTGTGTTCTTTTTTTCCATTTTGAGATTTTGTGCTTCATTACACACTTGTAAAACAGGACACCCTTGCCTCAGTGAATAACACACATAAGTAGCCCGTCCATCTTCCTAATCACACTCTAATGACCAGATGCCGTGTGGGTGGCTTGTAACTGTGTACTGTCCTTGCATACCTGAGTGTTGGTGGAAACTAGACGACATGCATGTAATGCTGATCACAGAGCAAGGTGATACCACCTTCACTCAAGACTAAGGCTAAAGGAGCTGAGGGATTGTTTTCTTTTCCTCTGTTGAACCTCCTCCAAACAGGAGACTGAGAGATGTGGGCAGATGCAAGTAGGGTTGAAGGGATTCACTGATCTAAATCAACCCGGCTGTAACGGCTTTGTAGAAAAGTGATTGATGTCTGATGATGTCTTGAATTGATTTCACTATTATTTTTAAACAACAGCAACAGAAACAGAACTCTGTCGTACATTTTTCCCCATCTCCCTTTAAAGTTAAAATGGCTTGAATTTGTGTCACCCTGTGCAATGAAATCATGTTTAATAATAATGTACAACGTATAATGTACTAATAATAACATATTTTCACATCTCTCTCCCTAATAAGCTGTCAAACGAGACACCTGGGTGAACGATAATGACTAATATTTGTTTGTACAGTATGCTTAGTCTTTTGTCACTATGAAAAGAAATAAACACAAGGACATGTTATTTTTGAAAGGACACATTGTTATCATACATTGTCGTATTACTTGGGATAAAATTGTCATAAAGTATTGGAACAGATCCGATTGCAACACATCAAACCAAATCACATGAATGCATAAATAAGAAACATGATATAAATATGTTTCTTAGAGAGTTTCATCTGAAGTGTTTATTTGAAGGCATATCTAATCGTGAAGACGCCGTTCTCAACTGTTGCGTAAAGTAGCGAGGTGTTAGCATTATATTCGCACTGACTCACACACCTTCTCCTTAATTACAGAGTTCAATCAATTAAAACAACAAAAGAAAGAGAAACAAACTCAAAGTTGGGGATAAATCTGTTGATAGTTTTATAGTTTTTTGACATAGACATTCTTCCACATAAGGTGCCTGTTGTTCATCAGGATCTCATTTGAATGTAAACGCTCTCACACACCATGCTATGCATTTGAGGGATATATCAAGCCTATAGTGTCCTGCTAAAGGACGCCTTCGCATGCAGCTGAGGTCAACCTGCTTCATCCCCTGATCATCGGGTCAGAGAAAGGTTGTGTTATTGGGCAGGCTTTTTAATCATTTTCATTATTCAAAATGTGCCAATGTGCCAAAATAATGCTTTCCATAGATCAAATTATTCAGTGGAAGTAGTTGAGTAAACATCATGTAACTTAAGACTGATCATTTACTAAGTTGTCTTGTACGTTTTATGGTAGAGCCAGTGAATTTAGGCTGTTTTTTTCACTCAAACATATAAAACTAAACTAAACATGTTATGTAAAAAAGAGAAGTGACAGAAACAGCATGTGCTGATGAATCATACCATTTCTCAACCAAACATCCGGGAGTGTATGAAGTAATAGAAACAATAAAAAAGGAATTTCATCACGTCACTACCACTATCACTACCCTGCCTGACACCCACATTTAATGGGAAAGGGAGTTAATGGAACCTGTGATTTTAAGATAATACTTGATATTTGACAGAAAGTTTTTGATAGATAATGAAACTAACTGAATCATATCCTCAATGGATTTGTCAAATTACTTCAAAATACATCAGAATATTTGGGTCTTTCTTTCCTGAAAACTTTAGGCTTTGTCCAAAATGCAAAAATAAACTCAGATGTAATGGCAGCAACACGGTCTATTCTGTCCCTGACACACAATCAGAGATTCAAAAGGATCCATAAAATAAGAGGCTATAGGCAGCAGGTTTGTTTTCATGGAACAGCCTAGTAAATTAGTTACCAAGAGGGACCTGGATTATTCTAAGACATTTACCATTAAAACCACAAACAGTTGTACAATTCAAAAATATTACTGCTATGAGAGCTATGATGAGATCATATTTTTATGTACATTTTAAAACACTTCTCTTATAAAAATAAACACCTTACACGCGATGAATGCAGAACAATTACTTGTGAAACATCATGGTGACATGTGCAAATCAGGTGTGTGCAGTTCACATGTGCTTTCGGCCCCCAACGCTTTTCCAGAAGTGAAAATTACTCAAAAACGGAGGCTGTGGTATGACATGTGAATCTAAATGTATCAAAGCTAATGTAGAAAACTTACAAAAAGGGTAAAATTTGATTATCCAACGACAGAATTGCCAAACACATTGACATAAACTGCTTTGTCGCTGTTACTACATGTGTGACCTTCTGAGAGAGAAGAGAAGCTACCAGGTCAGCAGTGACCACAACTGACAACTTTTCTGTGCAAGACTCAACTCATCTGTGCAATCTGTGCAGAGTGCACGTAAGTTGCATGCCTCATTTATCACAGGTCACCACAGCCACTGACATGACAGTATCTTTTATGACATAGCCTGCATTAATTGACAACATAAAAGTGGGATGTCTTTCTCATTTAAAAAAAAATATATATATTATATTATAAACATATTTGAATTACCAGTGTATTAATTATTGAACATCATGAAACCATCTTGTAATCGAACATGGGTGATTGTTTCTGTCTTGAAAAAGGGGGGCTTTGACAGCCAACATGTTATTGGTGGTGACATTAAGGGACCTGTAGAGTATGACAGCCAGCTATAGGGGATGTTTCTCACTGACACAATGTCGCCAGTGATGCTGTGCTGCAGAGTATCGTTAGATAACATGTTTTTTTTTTTTTTTGTTGCGCTCCTTACCCTCCGTCCTGCTCCGTACTGGTTGTCACTCCACCGGGCCCGGGTGTCTGCAGTCGACTCCCCGTTACCGGTCAGCGAGCCGGTGTCCGAATCCTCCCCCTCCTCCAGCTCCTCCTCCCCCTCCTCTCTCTCCTCCGTCTCCCTCTCCTCTGTTTTCAGCCGCTTCGCCGCCCTTCCGTAGTCCCCTTCCTCTCGCTGCCTGGCTCCTTCTACCGTCGACATGCTCCCCGCTGCGGTGAACCTGTTGTGTTGTGTTTGTCTGCTCAAACAGACACGTCCATGTCCACAAGTTATCCCTTACAGCTTCCTCTGCGCCTGTGTCTGCCTGCTCGCTTGTCCTTGTCAGAGTCTGTGTCTGTCTCTTTATCGTTCTTCATTACCAGTGATTTTTTTTTTTTTTTTTTTGTGGAAGCGTGAGTGGACCGGACACAGCCCGCCCCATACTGTTCTCTTATTGGTAAGTGTGGTCCTGCAGCTTGGAAAGACGGCGTGTGATTGGCCGTTGTCGGTACGTCAACAAGCAGCTCTCTGCACGCTGCAGAGGAGTGCGCAGAGAGGGGGGATAGAGGGGAATGGTGGGCTAGCTTAAGCAGAGGAAGACTGATTTAAAAATTGCACATCACAGGAAAAGAGAACAAGACACTGCCTGCCTTAGCTTATGTGCTGCATCATTCACTGAATACCTGCTGTCCATGATGTCTGCAGTAAACCTTAACCCACAACTACATGAAGCCTATACAGATCCTGGATGAAGATGTGGGCCTAGGACTATATTTTTATTAGTTTGCTTAAACATCCCCAAAATGCCAAGCCTAGTTTATTTTGGGTAGGTAGCTTGCAGTTATTCTGAAACCCAACTTTAAACACGTGAATATTTTGACTTCCTTATTTGAGGCACAGAAAAAAAAAAAAGATATTTTATATCACTGTCTGCTTTGGTGTTGGATCCTGACAATGTCAACAACAGGTTGAACTGGGATTAGTAGGAAGAGGGAGCCCTGGCACCTGAAGGTTGGGTGTTCCCATTGGTGGAGTGAGGTGGGTAAAGCAGGTTAGTCTAGCATGGATATGAACCAACTAGTCTAATTTAACACAATAGAATATTTTCGGTGGAAAACATTATCAAGCAATTCTGAGACTTAACCGGCCAAATAGTTCTGTTGGTTTAGTGTGCAGCTATAAGTGAGCTGTGAAACAGATAAAAACATCATGTTAACAGGATGTGGTGAGTATCCTTCACCCCAAAATCTAAGATGGGCTGATTGTCTGGTTGGGGAGGGACATATCTTCCGATTAACTGTTCAGACTTTGTTGCAACAAGTTGCTAGTTGCTCGTGTGGTGTTTCAATGCAAAACTATTGATCAGTTCTTCTGTACGTCTTCTTTTGGTTTTCTTAAAGAATTTAGCATGGTAGAATTTGAATTTGCCCCTCTGGTTTGTTATTTTTACTTGAAAAACCTATAAACATATATGTTATAATTGTACAGTGTTGTTAATAGTTTAAGTGCTCATAGAGACAGAAATGGTAAATACATTCTATTCAGACATGTGTGTGTGTGTGTGTGTGTGTGTGTGTGTGTGTGTGTGTGTGTGTGTGTGTGTGTGTGTGTGTGCACATGACTTCATGCCATCCCTGCAAAATGGGCCATCAAAGTTTGAAAAGTCTGGAAATACCTCTTTACACATTTAAGGTTATATAAGACTCACAGAGTTAGAAACATTCAATGGATATTCAATCTATTTGCTTATTTAAAGCATATTTTTCATATTTTAAACCATATTGGTTTCAACCTCTTTTGTCACTAATTGCAATGCAAATTCCCCTAGGGTCAATAAAGGATTTATTTGTTCAAATGAATACCTGCAAATTTTAAGGGCCATCATTTCATCATTTAAACCATCAGATGGAGATATTATTTTTCCAATACTTTGGTCAATGGCCAAATATCTGCAAACTGACACACATTAAGATCAGCTTTCTTGTTGTCTACGTGTATACACAAACCAACATTCAGATGATTCTATTAAAAAGAGCCATAAAGTCATTGTAACAACAAAAAGTCTTTAAAAGACATCAGCTGGGGCACAGACGGTCTAACGGTTAGGTTGCGCCCCATGCAGAGGCTACGGGCCTCCATGTGGGTGGTCCAGGATCAAGACAAACCTGCGTCTCATTTCCCACACGTCATTGTTAACTCTCTGCCCCTGATTTCCTTCTCTACCCACTGTTCTATCCAAATATAGGCTAAAAGCCCCCAAATGAAAATAGTCAAAAAGACGTCATGAGCCACACAGCTTCATATGAATCTCCACAGGACACAGTTTTGTTTTTTAAACTAAATGCAATATTTCCCTGTGTTTGACATAAAGATTTAAAAAAAAAAAAAAGATTTATTACTTTAGCACTTTACTTTACTTTAGTTCTAAATTAAAAAAAAAAAAAGCATGATGAGTGAACTGTGTGTGAACAACTTTGACTCGACCCTTGTTTGCACTAAAAATGTGTCTGTTTGTCAGCGCGTGGTCTGAGTCTCAAGAACAAAACTGTTGTCTTGTGTAATGCATAAATGTGGTTTTAAGTGTCTTTTTCGTGCTCTTGTGGCTAGGAGTGAGGTCACTAACAGAATACTGCAATATCACAGTCATTTCCTGTTTCTCCCTGTCAAACACCATAGATGTAGCCTACTTAACCCTACTCTGTATCTGTCTTTCCCACGCTGCATGTTTTCATAAGGACGCTGTGATTAGGAACAACTTTTAGGTAGCTTGGCCTGTCGGACAAGACTGCACCTGAAAGCTGAGACTATTAAATGATCCTTTCCCTTAATTCTACAAAAAAGGGTGTGATACGTACACACACACACACGCACACGCACACACACACACACACACACACATTAATAATGGGTGGGAAGTGGTGCAGAGGGTATAGGTGTCAGTACAAATGTCAGCATGCATTTGTATATGTTGCGTATTTGACATATACACTATGAAAAACTAAAAGCATTGAATTGTTAAAGAGTTGGTTGATTAGATGTCAAAAAGTTGCAGAGGTCTTGACTGTAGTGTGCTACTGTGTCCTCAATGATTGATTAAAAAAAAAAATGCAATAATTCAGAAATATCATGATTTAGAACTCTTAACTATCTCCTATATCATGTAAAATGAGCATGGCATATAACATATAATTCACACAAGTCATAACAGCCTGTCCTTATATTGACAGTGTAATGTAAAAATATAGAAAACCACACACAGTGCAGTGACCACACACAGGCCATTTTGATCACAATGCTGATCATCAAGCTTGCTGTTTGTCACGTACGCCTCTAAATTAAGAGATGAAATTAGACGCATGTGTCCAGTTTCTACCTTACCAATTGCCCTCTGATAGCGCTTTCATTTTATTATGGCAATATTCAAAAACAAACAAACAGAGCAACCGATGGCAGATGGTGCTGCACAGAAACTACTGGTTGGTTTAATGACTCTGAATGAAATATTGTGCTTTTAGAATCTAATACCAAACAAAAAGAGCAGAGAACCGGCTGATAATGTGAATGCTGTCAGCATTTCCTCCAGTTGAACAGTCAGCACAAGTAAACATAAATTAGCTTCATATTCAGAATGAAATGTCATAATGTTAACATCACAGATTTTTGAGTTAAAGGACCCCCTGTAATGAACAGAAATGCCTTTTTTAATGAAAGGCTGTGAAGATGAGCTTTCAATAGGCTAAACGATATTATTTGAGAATATTAAGACTAAGTGGAATAAATAGACAGTGATTCTCAAAGTGCAGTCCCTGGACCCCCAGGTTTGTGAATTGTTTTTACATAAGAATATGAGTCATGTAAATATTTAAATCGAAATCATCTTTGATTAGGCTTAATGTGTGTTTTGAAACACTGTTCAATACATTCTGTGGTTTGTTCAGAGTTTCCTGCCAGTTATTTGAATAAGGAACAAATAACTCATCTTTAAAGTTAAATCACTGACTGAAAGTGAGCTTTAGAATACATGACAACATTTCTGCGATGTTCATTTTCTCAAAGTTTATAAAAGTAATTACTTGGAAGTATAAATGTAGCCTAATTCTATCGTACCAGTACTACACAGTACATCAATACATATTTATATATGCTTATCAACGTTACGATAATGAGGGGGTCCTTGGAAAAATGTCTCACCTGAAAGGGGTCCATGGTCTAAAAAAGTTTGAGAACCACCAGCTCCAATAAGGCAGTCAGTTACTTACATCACCCTGGCTGTGTCAATTTTACAATCTAAAACAACACAGCATGAATTTTGTCTGTCCCGAACTAGGCTTGGCTCCTAGATGTTCACCATCTGCCCAATAGTATCATTGGTCTGCTCAAATTAGGAATTTGAACTAATGAGCCCAACAAAAAGGCTTCAAATTAAAAACAGCTTCAGAGTTGTATGAAGCTTTGTTTGCATGCACACAGACCATTTTATTCTAAAGGCCTGACTATAATTAATCAGAGCGGATTACAAGCATCTGTCGTTAAAGAGATAGTGCTTTTTAATAGTCAGTGAATAACAAACATTAGAATTTAAAAATACAATTTAAAAAAAAAAAAAACAGCCAAAGCTGTAATAAATCATGTAAATTATTTGTCAGTTCATGGAATGAAATTCAGTCCAGCGTGACCTTTGGAAAAGCTGCAACTTTCTCTTATGTAACAATATTTATTTTTTGGAGAATGTAAAATCTCACTTCCAACGCAGTTTGTTCCCAGTGCGGCTTCACATGATTCACACACGGCTCCACTCTCTTTCTCTTACTGTTACAGAGTGAAGCTACGAGCCAGGTTCTCCCTCCCACTCACCGCCTCATCAGTTTTCTGTTCTTGCAGCAGGCTCTCTCTCCCACCACTCATTGTTATGTCTTTTCAACGTCCTCTTCTAATGCAAATGTTCTTCTTTGGAAAGATTTACATATTACACATTTGTGTCTGACTTGTGTAAGATGACATTTTGAGTGACTTAACAGAATCAAGAATTGTGTTTTATATTCTTTCTTTATGACCATAAGGGGTAGATGGAGGGGAGAGTTTCTGGGTCTGGACAGTAGAATACATTATTGGACAAAAACACAGACAGACTCAGATGTTTTGATTACAGTCACACTCGCTCAGCACTCTTTTTTCAACACAGCACTTTTAATTCCATACCTGTCAATGGTTAAACATCCATATGTTTAAAGGAAGGCTAAACATAACGCTTTCATATTTCCATTTACCATGTGTTTTAGAAATAAAGCAATTAATTAAAAGTTCATCGACATAGCTTGGCACATGTTCTGTGGAAATTCAGGGATGCCAACTTTAAATTACACTGTAAAATAAGATAATCAATTTCATTTCAATTTTTAAAAACTTTATATACAGTGAAAAAAGAAAAATGACAGCTTCACTGTCAATTCATCTTCAGGTTGTACTGCTTAAGATACCACTGATAATATATTTTTAGCATTATTAAATCAAAAGAGAAAACCTAAACTGTGATATTAAAAATGTGTTTTACTTCAAATTGAACTGAAATCACATTGAGCCACATTTAGTTAAATAACGTCAATTTGTTTAAATTATTATCAGGCAAAAAAAGATTGCAGACAGAGTAGGCTACCAGAGATTTTTCTAGCAGATATGAGTTAGAGTGGTCAAAGAAGCCTTACTCCCTTTTACCTTTTGTACTGATAATGTCATTTTAATATTTATTTCGGTACAATGTTGTGGAATTCATTCCAGTGATTAGAGGTAAAATATCTGAGGCTGCATTAATGTCATACACAAGGTGGCTGTGGCTCAGTGGTAGAATCAGCCTTCTCACAAACAGAAGGTTGGAGGTGCCATCCAAGCTGCTGCAGTCCACATTCTTGTTTTATAGCGAGACAATTTAAAATTATATGGACACATTACATAGAATCCTTTGCAATCAGTGAATGTGTGTGTGAATTGTTGAATGTGACATGAAGTGTAAAAGCATTTTGAGTGGAGAAGACTGGAAAATGTTTGTAAAAGTAAAGTACATTGTACACTTTATACTGTATCGAACACAGTTCAAGTTTGGGAAAGAAGGTAGGAGGTACATAAAGGGTTGGTGTTGTATGTGTTTCTCTCTACATGTCTGTGGTATAATTAACTGTAGGAACCCAAGCCCTCTTGCATGAAATGCTGCTGCTGTTTTATGCCACTGAAAAAATAAAAGCTGTTTCGTTATAATACAAGAATGTCAGAAAGCTACACAGCTTTCCTGAGCTCCATTTTTCTGTTCCTTTCTCCAGCTCTGTAGCAGCGAGGCACACAAGTTCTATCACGTTCTGTGAAATCTCAGATTTTGAAAGCCTCTGTGAGTGCAGATAAGAGGTTGCCATGGTAACATGTGCCTCTTGGCAGAGTAGTAGGTTGCCCTTTCACCGAAACTTACCTCCTCACCTAATGTTCTAGAAATAGCTTAGCCTATGTAAAACTGGTGAACAGGCATGTGAATGATGTTACATAAAAGTAAACAATGTGCGCAGCCTGACTGCTCTCTGACTCCTTCAACTGTTACAGAAAAGGGATTGATGGACCATAACTAATCAATGAACAATGACCCATCTGATCCTGAAGAAACAAAATGCAATCATCAAATTAAGTGATGGACTCGCCGTTTCATTTTATAATTCAATTTTAATAAAGAATTTTATTGCACTAGATTGGACAAGAAAAACAGTTTTTGATTCATATTATGAGCATCTTATTACTGCCCTGCACCTAACATACCCATGATGTAATTATTCTGCCTGCAAAGACTGCTGTAGCAGCGGTCTTCACTTAAAAATAAAAAATCCTTATCTCTATCCCCAATATCTGTCTCTAAAATGAAGCCATAATAAGCCCAAAAATAAACCTTAAAAAACAAGAATCTTTTTATCAGATGACACAGGTACACAGTCAGGAACTGGTACATGATTACAGTTCAAAAATGACAAGGTTATAAAGCACTTCATTTTCCACTTAATAACACAAAGACTTCTACTCTGCTGTCTTGCAGTTAAGTTCAGATCAGGCGGTCGTGAAAGTGTAACGGGTGATGTGGTGGTAGACCTCACCAGCACGCAGAAGGCTATCAGGAAACGAAACCTAAAGCCAAGCAAATGCAAAGAAGGCCAGTCAGACAAACAGCAAAACAGAGACAACGAGAGGCAACAAATAATGCTGACCTCAATGGAGCTGTTACAAGACACTGTCTATGTGGCTTTCATACCATTTCATATTTGGCTGTAATTTAGGGTATCTATTGTATATAATAATTCCCAATCGCTGTGGTTATGTGATTTAAATGTTACCCCAATGTGAGAGACACACTTATGAGTCTGGAAAACTAAACTTTAAAGGCTTAAATGAAGAATAAGACAAGTCCTTTTTTCTTTGACTCTCTTTGTCCATCTATACCTCTGGGTCCTGTTCAACTCAATTTCCCAGTTTGGAATCAATAAAGTAAATCTATCTATCTATCTAAAACACGATGGAATTATATTATTCCAATTTTTTGCTTTGCAGAACCTGCTGGCAGCTGATGGCATGTGTTTGTGACTAAAGCCGAGATGGTTGACTTTGAACACCAGTCGAGTCGCCCACTTATAGAATGAATCATTATCACATCACATTTTACACTGAATAAAGTCCAACAACATGGACTGAATCATTTGTATCCTTACTGTCAGCGATGCAATATGTTAATTAGATATAATGGAATCCAGAGCCTCATCTGAATTCTTGTTTTGTTCAGTGTGTGTAAGAGTAGACCCCTCCTGCATTTACAACACAACACTACGGCTTTGTAATAGAGAAGCTCTAACTACTATCCCAATACCTGATTGACAGCGTCAGGCCAATTCTGCGTCTCAAGACAGAAGGAGCTGTGCTTCCCGTACCGAGACCCGCCCTTTCCTGTCATAGAGCCATCCAGATAGTTAGCAGTGTAGAACTGCATCCCTGGTTGGCTGGTGGAAACCTCTAGGACACGCCCACTGGCTGGGTGACACACTCTGAGATAAATGGAGAAGTTTCATGGCAAAATTTTTAATATAAAATATAATAAACACAAAGGCACAAGGGTTGTAGTGTTATCTGTGTGTGTGTGTGTGTGTGTGGTTGTGTGACAAAAAAACAAAAACATGATACAGCAAACCTGGCAGCATGCCTCTCCGTCCAGGCATCTCTGGGTGATGACAGACAAAAGTTGTGGTCAAAACCTGGGCCTGGAACTTCCTTCAGCCGAGGGCCAATCAAAACAGGCATTCTGAGGTCAAAGGGCGTGCCTTCCACTCCTCGGATCTCTCCTGTGAATAGATAAGGTTGTTATTTAATGATTCTTCAACCCCCTGAGGGTCATATTGTCATACTGTTGAAAAATGTTGAATGAAAATCAAAAGGGCCTTGTTTTGTAAACCAGTCAAACAACTGAGAGGACATCTTAAAGAAAACATAAATTTATCTGTTGAACTTCACTTCCAAGTGTGATGTCATAACACACCCCATGTTACTCCTCCTCTTGCTGAAATGTTCCTTTTTTGTGTTAACCTGAGCTGCTTCACTGTTGTAATAAAAATGTATATTTTTATAATTGCTAACCCGTATGACAAAACAACACAGACACAGCTCTGTTTTGTATTTACTGTCTCCTTTTAAAATGAATGATCACAATTTTTTTTTTTTTTGAGAAAAAACAAAGTCCTGGGATTCAAACAGAACCTGGTAGAGTAGCTGGTCATGGACTAACATTCAAATCATGTGGCAGAGATGTTTTCAGCTCCCCTGGGAGAGTTCGAAGATCTTAAAAAAACAACTTTGTTACTCAGAAGTTGAACTGCTATTCCTAAACTGGATTACTGGTATGTATCTGATAACCCAGTCTGTTTTCTTACGTGTTATAATTTAACATTTGATGTAAAATGGTTTGCTATCCAGGCCAGGTTCACGTAACAGAAAATAAATCTTGGTTGAGTACAGGGTCATTTACATATATTTTTTAAACTTAATGGATTTGTGGCCAGTTGTTTTAAAGGGGACCAAAGTATTCATGTAACATGTAGCAAAACAAAACTTCTGATCCTTATCATTTTGAGTCATACCATGATGGCTTTTTTTTTTTTTTACCTGTGGGAATCGATGTATCATCCACAGGCAGGTAGGACTGAGCATTTATGGACACTTGGTGGTCATAGATATCAGTTTCCCCTGTTCACACACACACACACACACACACACACACACACACACACACACACACACACACACACACACACACACACACACACACACACACACACACACACACACACACACACACACACACACACACACACACACACACACACACACACACACACACACACACACACACACGTCATAAAGTATAGCTCCATGTCACTTCCTGCAAACTTCCTGTGTTAAACAACGTTGCAGTATTGAAGTGCAGCACTCCAATTGCTAAATGGAAGTGCAACTACAGTTTCTGATAAACTCATGGGTCTTTATTATGAAGGAATATGACTGATGATTATTTATGCACGACATGATTAGAATGATTAGAATAGATATAGATGCATAATGTATAAATGTATTGTGTGTGTGTGCTACCTGTCCAGCCAGGTTGAAGTAGGCGTGGTTGGTGAGGTTGATGGGGGTGGTTTTGGTAGACCGAGCTTGGTATTCAGCTGTCAGTGTTTCCCCCTAAACACAAAACAAAAATTCTCAGAGAACAGCCATCTGTTGAAAACATACATATATGGGATTGTTTTTATTGACAATTAATTATAAGGACAAATGTGGAAAAATTACACTGAGCCTGAGGGGTCATTCATTTAGAGAAAAGCTTTAATTAACAGATCCAATGTTTCTTTATGAATCTAAAGAGAAATATATAACTAATAGACTGTAAAAAATCTCAGAAATGAAAGTTAAAATATTGTATTGCTCTTTACAGGTACAGCAAATGTATGTCTTTATCATATCAAAATTTTCTCAGAAACATATCACTTTAAGAGAAACTCAAGGTCCTTCACATTCACACACTGATGGCAGAAGCTGCGATGTGAAGCGTCCATCAGTATTAACTAATCCCAATCACACACATGAACACGCCGCCGGTGAAGCAGCTGGACAAGCTTGGGGTTGAGTGTCTTGCTCAAGGACATGTTGACATATGGTTGCAGGAGCCTGGAGATCGAACCCCTGACTTACCGGTTGAGACCTCTACCACTGAGCCACATGTGGTTCTTTGAGTTCTTTACTGATCTAAAAAAAAATGTTTGGGATGCTTTCAGGATGATCCGCAGCAGAGCTCTGAAGTTATTATGTGTTTACCTGTAAGGTGTAGGAGACAGAGACCTGAACCTCTCCAGGATAACCCTGGTCTCCATCAGGACTCGTAAGACTCAGCTGTACACCTCCTTCAATTTCTGTAGCAAGCCAGACAGCCTGCAGACACAAAGGCACACATGCAGTATTAATAAGTATATAGCAGTATCGTAAGTCGTAAGGGATCAAATACTTCATAATCCATCAGTTAGACCCACGTATACTCAGGAGTAGAGGGCGCTGCAGTCACTTTACCTAACCTGCATCTTTGAACTGTGGGAACATTGAAGTGGGCGGCCAGGGTTGGAATCCGGCATGTGGCTCCTTTCTCTCATTTTACTAGAGTCTCTCTCTCTCTCTCTCTCTCTCTCTCTCTCTAAGACATAAGAAGCCCCCCCAAACAAAATCTTAAAAATAAATTAATAATAAGAAGCCCCTGGGCATTTGGCACACAAACAAACATGCACAGCAAAAGCACACACATTAGTCCTTATAATACACTGGGTTAAGTCGTCATCCATTAATGTGTATAATATGTGTGTGTGTGTGTGTGTGTGTGTGTGTTGTTGAAGCAGCTTACTGAAGTCAGTAAATAGCCAATCCAGTAAATCTTTCAGCCCAAAGAACAGACTGCTGTGATAAACACACACTCATGGCCTCATTAATTCAGTTTGTTCTAGCCACAACCTGCATGCTGCAAACACTAAAGTTGAACAATTGGTTGTGAATTATACTAATGAGACTGTCATGCCCTGGTTCAACCTGATGGAATGAAAGGACCAATAGTTTACCTGCAACTAGCTGGTTAAACGTGTAGAAGTGAAAAAAGACAAAAAAAAAAAAAAGATAAGCCCATCCCAGTTCATGTGGAACAAGCTGGTACAGCATTCTCACAGTCGTACCTTATTGAAGCCCTGCAGCCCCCCATGCAGTGCATTGGGTCCATTATTAATATCCAGTTTGTACTCTTTTCCCTCCACTACAAAGCGACCTCGTGCAATCCTGTTAGCCACGCGGCCCACCACAGCTCCTTGGTACCGCTTATCTGACAGATAACCTGAAAACACAACACAGCACGGATTGTTATTATCCATCTTACAAATTCAAGAAATGGTTTAAATCCACCTTACAGTCCATGCTGTTCCTCAGCCGCTTCAGAGTATATTTCACTTCAAATTAATAATGCCTTTTCACATTGTGGATTCCTCAGGTTTTGCTCGAAGGAATCTAAGGAAGGATGCAGACGTGTCACTGCCTTGGTTGTGCTCGATGTTAACAGATGAGTCTCTTCAGCTGCAGTTGTGTATAGGCTACAGCAAATGTAGTCATAGTCTTTGTGTAAAAGTAGTAGTCTATAATATGAAGTGTGTGTGTGTGTGTGTGTGTGTGTGTGTGTGTGTGTGTCTTTTTGCTATTCGAGGACGAAAACAGTGATTTGCCTTCCTACCTTCCAGGTCATCAAATCCCAGGACTACGTCTTTTGTCTGTCCATCCTTCCCCCTGCTCCACACAGACCTGATGGTGGCTCCCAGGGTGAGAACCTCCACCCTCAGCTGGGGGGACTGGAGGACCCACATGTCCACACCGGACTCCCTCCCCATTTCTGATGGCTCACCTCAGTCATGTTGGACCTGACACACAGAACAGCACGACGTCACATTAATATTGTTGTTGTTGTTGTTGTTGTTATTTTTCCTGAAATCTGTCTGGGAGTTTTAGGTTTATCTTTTCGTGTTTTTAAAAGCCACGGTGTGAAGTGAAAACCATTATCACATCACACTCAAACACTTCATACTTTACTTCAGTCTTGTAACTTTTGACAACAGAAAAAAAGAGAAAGGACCGCACACTGTTCAGCTGCCAACGAGCAACTTCATTTGAAACACGGCAACGTTTCGATACAACTACAAATGCGAACCTTTTTCGTTTTCCCCCCATGCAGTTAATGAAAAAGTTATCCTGCACCTGTATGTCTTTTGCTTGGGAGTGCGCGCACTAGTTTTTCTCTATTTGAACTTTTGACAACAAACATATTTCATGACAAATAGGCCTGTCTATCACTAGCTGCAACACAAACGATTGTTTGAACAGTTTCTCACCACAGTGGACAGGCTCAAAGTCTTATCCCTTGACTTTCAAACTGGACATGTTTATATTTGACTTCCTTCTTCTTTAAGTCTGGATGGCGGGTTGGAAAACTACCGTCACCTACTGGATTGGAGTCTAAAGCAGTCAATGACGTTCTTCTCTTTCTTTCTTTCTTTTTATGACGACGTACAAGTTGCATGCTTTTTAATTGAGTACGGGATGGGTACGCAATTGAAGGTTAAGAAAATGTCTTAGCTTGTGTCAGGAAACGTTATCCTGGGATGGTGTAGGCTATATTCAGCGGCATTTAAACCTGTGCTTTCACTGTACGACCTGCAGGTGGCGCTTGAGTTCTTGCCAAATCTTCATGATGACAGTGAGAAGTCTATGATCTAAGATCCATACTCATCCCTACCTTGTTCTTCTTCAAATTGTGACCAAGAATAAAAACATTTGACAAATAAACATGGCATAGGCCTACTTAGTGGTGTCACTGTTACACAATGATAGCTGTTTATAACGCTATTTATCTTTTTTAAATTCATAAAAACAATGAATCATCTCTAGGGCAATGTGTCAAACACCAGAACTCTTTACATACCCAAACCACCAGAAAATGAAGTCACTTATCGTCAATGAAGTTGTCAATGAATAGGCTACATACACATATCACTAAATGAACTATCGCCACAACATCTCCTGGTTTTAAGGCGACATCACATTATATTTTTAAATCTATTTCACATTTATTAAACCGGGAGAGAAACTCGATTAAAAAAAAAAGACTCTTTTAAAAATGTCATCATGACACATCATGACTACACAAGGCTTTCTGACGACTGTCTGCGAGCGTGTTAAACTGACTCTTTCACTTTACCTTAAAATAGACACTGGAGCTGCTGGTGATCAATCGCCTGCGTACTTGAACATCTGATGTAAAAGTAGATAAATATAATCCGGTTAGCTGTGGGGAAATGGAACATCACAAAATTCAAAGAAAGGTCCAGCCTCCCAGTAAACACTGTTTACATCTGTTACATTGTTACTGTTCATTTGATCACAAATGGTAAAGCATCTGTGTGCTGGACATCTCAAATGACTTTAAACCATTTTCACTTGCCATGCTGCAAAGTTGACAAGTGTTGGATATAATGAAATCATTCTGAAGTCCTATATATTTTAGCCCTATAAGCTGTACAGATGTCCCAGTATACAATGATAACGGATAAGGAGTTATTAACAGAAGGAGAAGAAGGAGAACACTTTGAACATTTGCAGAGACATGTATTGCAGTGTCAGCTGTTACAGTATCAGTTTAACAGAAACAAAACTATCTACTTAAATCACTGATCACAAACCAATAACAAATTAGTTTGATGAACAACTTATGTATTTGTCTTATGGGCCCAGGAAAACACCATATTTTTGGAAATCCCCAGGTTATCAGAGAAATTCTGCATTTTTTCCCCCCATACAACTCTGCATATGCATAGAGCAAATCAATGAGTGGATGTGCAAAAATGTTCTCCAGCTAAACAAAGACAAAACTGAGGTTGTTGTTTTTGGAGCGACTAAGAGTCAGCAATCAGCTTCAGTCAGTAAGACTCAAAACCACAGACCAGGCAAGAAGTCTGGGCGTAGTGATGGACTCAAACCTACATTTTAAAAGCCACATTAAGACGATTACAAAGTCAGCCGACTATCACCTGAAGAACATATCAAGAATTAGAGGACTTATGTCCCAGCAGGACCTGGAAAAACTTGTCCATGCTTTTATCTTCAGTGGTCTTGATTACTGCAACATTGTCTTTACAGGTCTGCCTAAAACATCAGTCAGACAACTGCAGCTGATCCAGAACGCTGCTGCTAGAGTCCTCACCAAAACCAAGAAAATGGATCACATCAGTCCAGTTCTGAGGTCTTTACGCTGGCTCCCAGTCTGTCAGAGAATATAGATTTTAAAATCCTGCTGCTGGTTTGTAAAGCGCTTAATGGTTTAGGGCCAAAATACATTAGTGACCTCCTGAATAATTATGAACCATCCAGACCGTCAGGTCGTCTGGGACAGGTCTGCTCTCTGTCCCCAGAGTCAGAACCAAACATGGAGAAGCAGTGTTCAGTTTCTGTGCTCCTTATATCTGGAACAAACTCCCAGAAAACTGCAGGTCTGCTGAAACTCTCGCTCTTTTAAATCCAGGTTGAAGACAAACCTGTTTACAGCTGCCTTTCATTAAACAGCTTTAATAAGATTTTAAACTTTTACTCCGCACTGTAATTATATTGTTTTCAACTCTTTTCATTTCTTTACTTTTATTTTTTATTTGTATTTTTTCATTTAAATTAATTTCATTTAAATTATTTTTATTTGAACATATTTTCAGATCATTTTTTTAATGTTCTATTTTAATGTTTCTTTTCTTTCCTCTGTCATGATGCTTTCGATGTCTTGTGTGAAGCACTTTGAATTGCCTTGTTGTTGAAATGTGCTACATAAATAAACTTGCCTTGTCTTGCCTATGTCCCATGTCTGACCTTTGCATTTAAATGTCAACTATTCACCTTTGAGAAAAGGAAAAGATAAATATGTTGGGTCTACATGAACAAAATGATGCCCTCCAAAATGACATCATCTTAATAACAGACATTACTAATGAGAAACCATGTGAAAAATCCTAATAGGAAATGTTATTTCGAAATTAAACAGTGAAACACTACTTATCTAACTATGGGCTACACATGGAGTCGCATTTAAGATTTTAAAATAGTAATTTTATTTCTCCGAAATTCCCAACGTGGCTGCATAACATCTTGTTATTATTTAAAAAAAATAAACTGGCTATTTCTGTCATTTATTTCATCTATGAGGCCAGACTGAGATTGTTAAAGAGCCAGGCTTGTCAAGCCTCTGTTATATTCTGTATCCTGTAGACATTTTAATGAAATCCTCTCGAGTAAAAACGAAATCTTTAAGAAGGGAAGATTATTTGCAAGGCCGAAAAAACTGAAGGAGTAAAAGATGTACAGGTGTCAATATAATCTGGAGAATAAATTAATCAAATGATTTAGCAATTCCTTTCAAGTGAGCTGTACTCTGATATAAATCAATAAAGGGCATATTTCCTCTGTCTATATATAGTCTAGACTACTTTCTGTCTAAAACTCATTTAAAAATGTGTTAACTTTTTTCGCACTGTACATCTGTAATGCTTAAAAACACGTCAGGTTTAAAGAAACGTCCCTGTGACCACCGTGGATTCAAGGGGTCCTGAGTGTGATACGAGGTCAAAGAAGACGTGTGGCAACTTTACCTTTGACAATCCTCAATCTTCTGCGGGTGGAAGACAGTACTCGGTCTAATTTTGGACTTTAGTCTGTGAAAACAAACATTGGTTGAATAATTTGGGGGCGCGCATATCAAGCCCTCCCCCCGTATCCCAGCTTTTGGTTGAGTCCAGGGTTCCATCAGATCCAAGATGGCGGAACAAGCAGCGACGTGCTGAAGTTCACTTTAAACTCTAAACCCTAACGCCTGTTGTCCTCCTACTCACGTATTGGATCTCTGTCAGTAAAGAACAGGACCTGGTAAGTCCCACACCACTGACAGGTGGAGTATTTAGTGACAGTGTCTGTGATTTGAAGACGATGTGCGGAGCAGCTGTCGTAGCCACAGCAGCTAACTGGAACTGTCCCAGTTATGTTAGTGGTGGAGGCACCAGAGTCTGCTTTTATCATATTTTAACACCAGTTTGAAAACAAAGGGACATGCCGGCATCGTGCAGGTTGTGATAAACGTGGCAGACGTTGTTAAGATGTCAGATTTGTTCTCACTCTGAGAAAGTGTCGTCAGCTCTGCTAGCAGTAGACTGTTGCTTTAGACAGCTAGCTGTTAGCTGCTAGCTACAATCCACGACAACCTTTAAACAGGAGAGATAAAGTTTACCCACTTGCTTTAAGGTTTTATTTAGAATACTTTCTTTCTCATGCCCCCTTCACATCTTGCTTATGGTATTTTTTTTTTACATGATGCCAGTGGGATGTTTGTGTTTACTGAAGCAGAAGTAACGCTGTGTTTCATTGAATGTGGAGTTTTTCTGCTCTAATTGTTCTGATAATGTAGTTTTTAAATGTGTTTAGAGGAGGGAGGGGAGGGGGGCTGTGTAACCGAGACACCAGGGTCCAGGTTTGATGTTCTACTAAAGGTAGCCGTGATGATCTTTAACACAAAGGGGTTTTTAAAGTCACCAGATAACTGGATTGTGAGAATGTGTTTTTAACTCTGATTAGAAAACAATCGATGCAGTGAAGGATGTCAGCTCCTGATTTTCGCAAACACGGGAAACTTCCACGAATTGTTGTGGAATATCTGTTAGAGAGAGAGAGAGAGAGAGAGAGAGAGAGAGAGAGAGCAAGAGAGCAAGAGCAGCACAGAGAGGATGTGTGAATACATGCAAAGAAAGAACCAGTAAGTGAAAGGTTACTGGTTTGCGATGAGATAAAAGACAGTGTTTTTGTTTTTTTAGATTAAGATATAAAACTACATGGGAGACTAACAGTGATAACCAGACAGTCTTCAACCTGAATTGTCAATTGTTAGTTCTGCCAGTGCATCCTGAATCGCTTTATTCAACAGGTAATTTAGATATTTAAAGCAGGATAATCGTTTGCTGTAGTGAAAACCTACTAGATTTAAGTTAACCTAAGACATGCATAATATTGGTTGGCTCTTGTGTTTTTTTTTTTTTAGCTTCTCTGTTGTGAATGTTCAGACGGTACAGTAGAAGAGTCTGTAACCTTTACATAAACAAGTCTCAGATTGACCACAAACCACAAGACTTAACTGTGGTTTATGTAGAGCGCTGCAGAAAGTCTTTTACTGCTCCCATGCTTTCTACTCTGTTGACTTACTTTTCCTGAACCAGAAGGTGGTAATGTAATATCACAACGTGCTTCTGTATTGTGATTGACAGCCGATAGCCCTATCATCAGCATCATTGCAGCCCTGCATGCTCTGGGAATTAGTAACTGAATATGTTCAGGACACTTAACTGATTATGAACTTTTAGGATTATTTTTTTGAAACAGAAAGCATTTGAACAAGTCATCTCTGTGTTTGATAACTGTTAGCCACTGGCAATATACGATTGCATCGGCTATCAGCCCAACGCTATTCTATTAGGGAGGTAACTTCAGGTGTAACTCCTGGGGCTTAAAGGTGCACTCACACTCAGCAATCCGTAGCGTGCCCAAGCACGTTTGACCCCCAAGGTCCAGTTTTTTTTGACTAGTGTGACTGTGCGAGTGCTCCGTACGGTCCTCAAGCATGGTACACTTCCTTGGCCCTGCATGGTTGGAAGAGGTGGGCTTTAGCATGGTACGGTTGCTCATGCACGAGAGACAAGTTGGCAACATGCAGCACATACATAGCCTGATCGATGTGACCGCTCCTCTAAACTATCATTTTAAAGGTCCGGTTGAGCCTGGAGCAATGTGAGAGCTAGCAGGGGTCTGGGGAGCGGGACAATCATGCTTGGCACGGTATGGGGCAACTGGGCCTAGTGTAAGTGTGTCCTAAGAGACTGGTTCACCTATGTTCTGCTTGTTTTGGTGTCATCATCATCTCAGCGTTGAAACTGTGTGTGAAGTTCTATAATGGAAATACTTCAAATACTTTTTTTTAAAAGCAGAAAACACTCACCATTTATACATACAAATAAAATAAATGCTAAGAATGTAAAAAAAAACAGTGGGTTATTGGATCAGCTTTTATTGCTTATTCGTGAGTCGGCTGTGGATCTGATCCAAACTTTAATGGGATCCTTCTTGGCCCAAGCTACACCCTTCCGCCAGGTTTCATGAATAATGAGCCAGAAGTTTTTTTCTCAATCCTGCTTACAAACAGACAAATGAAAGAAACAGACAAAAAGAAAGAACAGTACTAAGACGATAACATCTTGGCAGAGGGAATTGTGTGCTTCGACGTAAAGGCCTCTGATGACAGCAGTAGGAAAGGTCAGCAGGCTCAAGGAGTCATGGGAAATCATGCACTGACATGACTCTACAACTAAGTTTAATCACAATCTGTTGTGTTGATGTATTTTGCTCTTGACAGTCACTATCAACATTGCTAGCCACAGGGCTTCAACCAGATGAGGGAAAAACAAACACTTGTACATTTGCCAGTGTTGATGCAGAAACACCCGGCCATCAGAGAGGAGGCCTTTGATTCCATGTGTTGGTAACATCCTGGATCATGAGGCCAAACTTCAGTAAGCGTTTTAATGTTAAATGTGAAAATGTATTGAATCACCTTTTTTCATCCTAATAATTGGTTTCCTGTTGAAGTTTAAATGATTAGTGGGATCAGAGGAGGCACATTTAGAAGTAGGTGGCTATATAAAGCTGATATCCCTCTGTGAATTTACCCTCTGCTTGAGTGACTTGTGCTATTCAGTTCTTGAGTGGAGAGCCAATTAGGCGTAGGCCCACTTCTGTCCTGAAAGCATATCATATCACTGATGGTTGAGATAACACTTGATAATTAAGAGGAAGGCCCCGAGGTGGTTTCGCAGGAAGGTAGTGTTTGTGCACGAGAAGAAGGCCATTAAAACCCAGCCCTGACGTCAGCGGCGTTGCTTGATTTTTCTGGTAACTTTCTTCAGTTTGATGTATTTGGAACAACCACATGCAAATGTGGACTGAAACCTGCAAGCTAAAAAAAACACGCACATTGTTTGAATACAAACAAAGTCAATAAAGGAAGTCAGTTACAACAAGCAATGGAGTGGAGGCCATCAACTGGTTATTGAACTCAGTTTCTTTTTTTTTCTTCTTCATCAATAGAGCATTGTCCACTTCAGTTGTTTTGCTCATAGAGCTTGGACTAGTGCACATACAGTTACATGAACAAGCCTGAGTAAACATGAGCACCTGGACAAGTAACCAAATAAAACAGGCCTCATGTTAGGGGCAACAGTGTGTCACCAATGAGATGATTCAGAGTCAGAGATAGCACGAAGTTACGAGGGATATGTGACCATGCTTTTGAATTCCGAGCAACATTTTTCAAAGGCACCCATTTTCCTGTGCAAGAACAACAAATGTTAGTTCAAAGTTATCCATGAGGTTTTGGAATGACTTCTCGAGCGCTGTAAGACACATATGTTTTTGTGTGTGTAACTCTCATTTACAAGACATTCCTATTCCAAATCTCGGCTCAGGGCCAATTAAATAAATGATAGAAAGATTCAGTTTGATACAATGCGCAGCAATAGCATTTTTATTTATAAAGCACATTTCATTACAAATAAGCTCAACATGCTTTACATTGAGATTAAAAACACAGCATACAAAAACAAGTGTTCCCAGTCATGAATAACAATCCAGAGATCAAATCAATGAACTCATACACACCACAAGGAAATCATCGATAACTCTGGAGGCCCATTGTACACAGTAGTGTTTTTTTCCTTTGTTGCCGTTTCCGTAACAATATTTTTTCTACGGGACTGGCTTATTAGCCCTGTGCCCAACCCCCAACCTGGAGGACCAGTGGATTTGCACTTTGTCAGACCTCTATCCCTCGACCTGACCAATTTGGGTGACCCTACCAGGAGCCTCCTAAGCTCCTGTCGGTATAGCTCTTGGGGTCATTGAGGCACGCAAGCCCCCGGACCCACAACAAGGTGGCAATCCTTCCGGGGGTAAAAGTGACCATACACACACACACACACACACACACAAAAAAAACTATTCATATGCTTTGGAGAACAGGTTTTGAGTTTTGCTTTAAAAGTAGACACAGTAGTGATGGATCTCAGGTCAGCAGGTAGTTTGTTCCAGAGAGAAGGTGTACCCAAAACCTTAGTAACCACAGTAACTAAAGGCCCCCTCTCCGGACTTTGATCTTATTCTGGGTATGGCTAAAAGACCTCCACCTGATGACCTGAGGGTCCGGGTTGGGCTGTAGTCTGTGAGCAGGCCAGAAATGTACTCAGGAGCTGAACCCTTGAGAGCTTCATGGACTAATGAGAGGATTTTGAAGGTGATTCTGTGTTGTACGGGGAGCCAATGGAGAGTTTTGAGGACCGAAGGGATATGATCAAATTTTCTCGTACGGGTCAGGACTCTGAATGGCTGCTGAATTTTGAATAAATTGAAGTCTTCCTACAGATTGTTTGGATAATCCGGCATATAGAGCATTTCAACAATCCAATCAAGTGCAAATTGATTGTTAAATTAAAAAGTAACTACTTCTTTAGGTAATTGAGAAAAAATTATTTATGTCCGTGTGGTTACTTTTCCTGGAAACAAAAGACTATAGGCCTACAAACCTGTTGACAACTTGTGTTTAACTGAAGTTTATAGTCCTATTCAGGGTGCGATATGTGACATGTGGCTTTCAATGTGAATGGCATAATGGGGGGAAGAAGTGATCTCTCCCTTTGTTCTGTCTTCAGATTTAAAAACAGAGGTGTTTAAAGGGCTAGTCAGGTTTGGCTGAATGGGGGAGTGCAGCACTGTGTGTGTGTGCATGTCTGACTGTGAGTATGTGGAGCTCCCGCTTTGCTGTGCTCTCTTGCCCT